CGTCAGCCTCTTACTAGGTCTCGATCCTTTCCGACTTTAAAAGCCTTACTTAGAGATTCCGTTCCGAAGCAGACTGATTGCGGTTCAGCCTTACTAAGAGTTCCCGTTCTGCCCGAGGCCAACATCTAGTGTCAGCCTCAGTCTACTAGGTACCATTCTGTTCCGGCCTACTACGCAAAAGAAAAGCCGTTCGACCTTACTAAGAGTTCCCATTCTGCCTGAAACCTTTTGCATTACATTTATCATACGCGATTCTCGTTTCTACGCATACCCGTTACCATACCACGCACAGCTCCAACTTCCACATCCACGGCCCCGATACCACGCTGTGCTCGGCTCCATTCATTGCCTTCACTCGTCCGTCGATGGGCGTTTCGGACATATCTATCCACCCATACTCTACGACACCCAGTTTACGAAACATCTACGACCGTACACGACCAATTGTATCCTATTCGTTATGCAATATTCTTCATCCTCGCATTGTCTTGCAATACCATCGATGTTCCAACCGCTGTTGGTCGATGATACAGCGCTGGTAGATACTCATCCTGGTGCAAGGAAGGTACGGTCCCCCTCCACTCTCAATCACGGCATCCTAACATACTGCCCACCATTCCCTTACGCCGATAAGTGGAACAACAACAGACTCTATATGATTAGGCTCAATATGTACTAATGAATGCGACGGTCTACATATGTAGCCTTGCGCCGATGCCCAGGGAAAACGCTTTCACGGCCGAGGTGCGAACGCGTCCGCAAGGAACTGCTCAATCTGCTTCTTGTGCTGCGCCTAATATCCACGTCCCCGTCAGTCTCCACACTTTGTTAGAATTCAGGAAGGGGTAACGCACCTTGCTGCCCGTCGCGACGGAGCTAGTAGGCTCGCGGCCGGCATAGAGCGGGTACTTGCGCTTATGGTGCGCCGTCTCCTTCGCCGCGGTGTGGATGCGCGGGCCGACGTACGACCACGCGCCGTTGTTCAGCGGCTCCTCCTGCAGAGAAAAGTTGAGTAATTGTCCATTGGTGACTGGAGCATGGAAACGTACCTGGCACCACAGAAGGTCTGCGTTAGGGTACTTGTCGAGGTGGGGCGTCAACTGTGAGGAACCGTATTGTCAGCGGCATGCTCGAGTGTTGAGGTAGAAGACACGTACGAGGTCGTAAGGGAAGGGCGAGATCTGCTCGATCCTGCTGATCACGACGTCGTTGATGCCCTTGTCCTCGCGCTCTTGGAGCAGCGTGTAGTACACTTGGCCTACACATCGCGAAGGATATCAGCCTCGTTTCGCGCCGGCCGGACACAGAAGCAACGTACCAGAGCAGAGAATATGCCGGCGGACCTGTTCGGGGGCGACGATGTTCTCCGGGTGCGCGTCGGGGATGTAGCGCAGGAAGTGGCTGTCACCGGCCATATCCGCGAGGTCAGAGCGCGCTTTGGGGTGGCGGAGGAGGGACTTTGAGAAGAAGAGAATCATCTAGGAAATGGGAGGTTCAGCGGCAGTTCGAAGTATGTTGTGATTTCGGGACTTACGGGCTTGCGGAACTCGCGGTGGATCTGACGGCGAAGGGAGTGGAACTGCAAAGGGCAACATTGTCAGTATTGACTGAATCTGGAAGAACACTAGTAACTCGTACGTAGTTCGCGGGTGTCCTGGAAGAACATATGCGTCAGCACGGAGTACGAGAAGCATTCAACCGACGTTGAACTTACGTCGGGTACACGACTTGCATATTGCAGTCCTGGTGCTGACGCTCGATCTTCTCCGGAGGAGGGAAGACGTGCGGGTGGTCATCACACAACTGCAAGAAACGCTCGATACGTCCGCTCGAGTGTTCCGGGCCCTGACCGTCAAAGCCATGAGGCAGGTTCATGACCAGCCCCGTGCGCTGGAACCACTTGCGCTCGCCCGACGCGATGAACTGGTCGATGATGCACTGCGCGTTGTTCACGAAATCGCCGAACTGCGCCTCCCAGATCGTGAGCGCAGAGGGCGAGACGAGCGAGTACCCGAGCTCGAAGCCGAGTGCGCCGAACTCGGACAGCGACGAGTTGCACACAACGAAGCGCGCCTGGTCGTTGCCTAGGTTGTTCAGCGGCACGTACTGCTGCTCGTTCTCCTGGTCGTGGATGACGGCGTGGCGCTGCGAGAAGGTGCCACGCTCGACGTCCTGGCCGGACACGCGCACGTGGATCTTCTCGAGTGCGAGAGTGCCGAACGCGAGTGCCTCGGCTGTGGCCCAGTCGATGTTCTTGCCCTCCTCGACGGTCTTGCCGCGGGTCGTCAGAATGCGCGCGAGGTTGCGGTGGGGGTGGAAGCCCTCGGGGAACGAGGAGATCGCCTTGCCGACGTGTTTGAGTACCTCTTCGCTCGTGCCGGTGCTGGGCGAGGCCAGGTTCTTCTCCACGAGCTCCTTCGGCGACGGGAATCCGGGCCAGCTCGAGGAGAGCCACTCCTTGCCAGTCGGCTCGTACGTCTTCGCTCCCTCGGCGCCCTTCTCGAGCACGCCCCACACCCACTGCTTGTGCTCCTCAATCTCCTTCTCGGTGAACGTGCCGCGCTCGACGAGCGCCTTGGTGTACTTGGTGAGCGTCGTCGGCTGCTTCTCGATAGCCTTGTACATGCGCGGCTGCGTGAAGCTCGGCTGGTCCGTCTCGTTGTGGCCGTACCGGCGGTAGCAGACGATGTCGACGATGACGTCGGACTTCCACTTCGCGCGCCAGTCCGCGGCGAGCTGGCATACGAAGTTGACAGCCTCGACGTCGTCGCCGTTCACGTGGAAGATGGGCGCGTCGAACGCCTTCGCGATGTCGGACGGGTACGGGGTCGAACGTGCGAAGCGCGGGTCGGTCGTGAAGCCGACCTGGTTGTTCACGATGAGGTGGACCGTTCCGCCGGTGCCGTAGTTGAGCAGATTGTGGAAGCCCATGGTCTCATACACGACACCCTGCCCGGCGAACGCGGCGTCACCGTGCAGCAAGATGCCCATTGCAGTGGTGTGCGTCTGCTCGTCGTTCGCGAAGTGCTGCTGTGCGCGCGTCTTACCAAGCACGAGGGGATCTTCCGCCTCCAGATGCGAAGGGTTCGCCACGAGCGACAAGGCGACCTTCTTTCCAGACGGCGTCGGGCGGACGTAGTTGGCTCCCAAATGGTATTTCACATCGCCAGCCGGGAAGTCGTCGTCTTCGGCCGTCCCTGAGAACTCGTTGAGGATAGCCTCGATGGGCTTCCGGATGACGTTGGCAAGAACGTTCAGGCGACCACGATGAGGCATACCGATGGTGATGTTCTGCACGCCGTGCTCGACCGACCTATCGATGAGCGCTTTCATACCGGGGATGAGGGACTCGCCACCCTCGAGACCGAAACGCTTCTCGTTGGGGTACTTGGTCGCCATGAATTTCTCAAACGACTCCGACCACATGAGGCGGTCGAGGACCATGCGCTTCTCGTCAAGGGTGTAGTTCCAGGGCTTCGGAATTTCGACGCGCTCCCGAATCCAGTCGCACTTGTCCTTGTCGGGAATGTGGACGTATTGGAAACCGATCGAAGCACAGTATATGCGCTTGCAAGTATCGATAACCTCGCCGAGCGTCATAGTCTTCCTGTCCTCCGTGGCAAAGTGAGGAAGGATACCCGGACCGAGGGTGATCGGCGTTTGCAAGTCGCGCTCCGAGAACCCGTAAGGCGCGAGCTCAAGCTCAGGCGGGTTCACGTTGTTGAGGTCGGGGTCAAGGATGCCGAGTGGGTCGAGATCCGCCATGTGGTGACCACGAACTTGGTACGCGCGAACGAGCAATTGGACCTGCCAGCCGTGTAAGAATGAGCATATTGTACCATCCATTGTGATATGTGAGGGGGAAAGTCGTAGGCCGGTATTGCAATTACTACAGACGCTAGAGAAGCGTAGACGTGATCACACGTAAATTCTTGTGCAATAGAGCGGTAGTGAACGCCGCACGCCCGGAGAGGGACGGGAGTGCATATATGTCACTCCCTCGGAAACCCTCACGATACGCGTTTTTCTCCCAGGTAACGCGTCCACCGAAACAGAGGCCGGCTTGGGGGCACAACACGAGGCCGAAATATTTGCATACCTTCAAGTGGATGTCCAAGTCCTTGTTCCCAGTGAGGTTCAAAGTCGCAATGCCTGTGGCCTCAAAGCTCGGCGGAGGAGTGAATGCCTTGTAGCTTGGGAGGCCCTTCTCCATCCCGGAAAAGTACGCGTTCCACGACGCGTGAACGACTTTGGGGTCTTCCCGCCAGAGCCGGTACATCTCGTCGATGTAGTACGAGTTGCCGCCATTCGCGAACGCGTCGTTGGGTGACGGTGGCTTCGCAGGAGTAGCGTAGGTGCGTACGGCGCACACCTGCGCGATACCGAAGCGGTATCTCGACCCGCTGAGCGGTTGGATGACTCTAGGAAGACGAGTCAGTCTGTGCATCTTGACCGGCACGCGCGATCAACGCAGTCGTGAGTCGTGAGGACGTGAAATGAGCCCAAAGGCAGAGGAGGAGGAGGAAGGAGGAAGAGAGAGGTACTGGAAATATATTCGACCGGGCATTCCGACGTCGAGTGCCTGCCCATTCCTGTCCTGGCCGATGGTCATGACGAAATTGCCCTGCCCGCTCGTAGGCGCTCGGCGGTCCTTCGGATTCCGGGACCCGGCTCGCCGATGCCGTCGGGCGCTCGTTACCCCGCATTCGACCTGCTCATCGAGGGCGACGACCTCCAGCACCTCCCCGCACTCTCACTCACCTGCTTTACGCGTCGAACGCGCCGGCTATGGCTTCTCTCATTCTACGGCGTGCGACTCGAGTGCGTGAATCGGGGTTTGCGCGCCAGATCGTCCGGAAGCGTACCCTCAATGTCGACCACGGTACACCGACACCTGCACAAGGCATGCCCCCTCCGCTCCGGGGAGTGAAGGTGCTTGACCTGACTCGCGTGCTTGCTGGCCCGACGTCGACCATGCTGCTTGCGGACCTGGGCGCAGATGTGATCAAGGTCGAGGAGGTATCTAGAGGTGATGATACGAGTGAGCCCGCTGCATTCAAATAACTGAACCTGGTGCACAGCACATTTCGCTGACACGGTATCTTGAGGATCCTGGTCTCCACCGTCTGCTCCTCTGTCGCCTTCAGCGCCGCAAGAAACATCGCACCTTCCCCCGGAGTCGGCATACTACCTCGCCGTCAACAGGAACAAGCGTTCGATCACGGTAAACTTCAAGGAGCCTGAGGGCCGAGCGATTCTCCATAAGCTTGTGAAAGAGGCAGATGTCCTGGTAGAGAACTTCATCTCTGGGAAGCTTGCAGAATCGGGGCTTGGTTGGGAGGATTGCCGAAAAATCAATCCTCGCCTCATATATACCAGCATCACTGGTATGTCTATTATTATCATAACCTTCGCTTGAGTGTAACCTTGCACTAACCTCCGTATCGTATATAGGTTACGGCCAATCTGGACCTTTCAAGAAAGCTGCAGGCTACGATGTCATCGTCGAGGCAGAGGCCGGTCTCATGCATATGTGGGATAGTCCCTAGCTCCATGTCCCACGCTGCCGGGCTAACAATTACCATTTACAGCACGGGCGAGCCTGACGGTCCGCCCTGCAAAGTTGGTGTTGCAGTAACCGACATAGCGACTGGCCTATATGCGCACGGCGCCATCATGGCTGCCCTTCTGTCGCGGCAGCAAACAGGCCAGGGGGTCTGGATCGATTGCAATCTGTTTGAGTCTCAGGTACGTCGACAGCCAGATTCCCACATCCGAGACAGGGCGCTCAACACCCTCACAGCTAGCAGGTCTTGCGAACATCGCTTCAAATTACCTTATTGCAGGTCAGGGAGGGTCGCGGCACGGCACCTCGCATCCGTCTATCGTTCCGTACCAAGTTTTCCCGTGCAAGGACGGTTTCATCATGATTGGGGCCGGAAACGACAAACAGGTCGGCCTGTCCGTGCAACCCATAGAGGCCTGCTGACCCGCGTTTCCTCCATGACAGTTCAAGCTGTTCGCCGAGACGATATTGGAACGTGCTGACCTTCCCTCTGACCCGAAGTTTTCCACCAACAAGGCCCGGGTTGCGAACAGACAGGAGCTTGTATCACTGATCACAGACACGCTACAGAAACAGGGCCGCGACCATTGGATAGAAAGGCTCACGGGCCTGGGGTGCGTAGTCGGATTTCTATGTTTAGGTTGGCAGACAGTCCCGGCTCATGGGATACATAGCATCCCTTTCGGACCCATCAATGACATCGAGCAAACTTTCGGTCACCCCCAGGTTGCTGCGCGCCAGATGATCACAGAGGTCGAGGTGCGTTCTTCTCGGAGACATCAGTGCTAGTGCTATCGGTGCTGGGAACTAAGACTTCGGTCGGCCTTTGACTAGCACCCGCGAGCTGGTAAAATCAAGCTCGTCTCTCCCCCAGTGACTTACAATGGGAAGAGAATGCCCATTGCCCGGCCACCGCCGTACTTATCGCAGCACACTACCGAGGTCCGTGGAGATATCATCATCTTCCTCGCCCGTCTGACCCCGCTGAACGTCTCTCGCGACAGGTGCTCACCGAGCTTGGATATAGCGAAGAAGAGATAGCGACACTACGGGAGAAGAGAATCATCTAACTAGACAGGAGCAATACCATCACCATCTCTTGTCACGCCGCCGGCACATGGGACGCTCACATGCATGCCCCAGGTGGAGATATGCGACCCAGCACCGTGCGTGCGATATAGAGGTAACAAGCTCGGCGCTTCCTGCCCCGGCTTCAGCTTCAGCGCTCGGGCTGTGCAGCCCCCCCACGAAGGCGACCTTGACATGTTCACTGTTCGTTTTGAACCTTGCTTTCCCAGCACCCTCGCTCTCCGCATGGTGCCGCAGCTTTGGGAAAACGTTCACGCGTCGGCCGGCGCCAGGCTGAGAAGTCCACCATCTGTTTTCGACCTATCGCGGCTCAGTACACTCACCACCACGCAGCGGTTCTATACTTATAAACAAGTCAAGCAGGATATCAGCTCCCAATTCAACTACGTGCCCATGGTCCCGCAAGTGTTGCCCCGTGATACCGCTTCTATCCGCCCCGGTGCTTCTCGCTCGACGCTCACTCCGCCTCGGCGACTCCCCATCTTGCTGTTCGGAACTCTGGCATGACGAGGTCCGCTCTTCCTGTTCATCACAGCCTCCCGAAGCGCACACACTTGCATCATTGATCGGGGCCTTCCTGGTCGACAGATGCACAAATACCTCCCGCGAGCTGGAGAGGATGGGTCTCTCGCGTCTCGAGTACTCCTGGCGGACTCACGCTGCTTGTCTATCTAGCTCCCCGCTTCTTGCTGCACAACTCTCTCGGGTGTCTGCTACTGTGCCACAATGCGTCATCCGTACGCCCTGGTGCCCGACTCCCGACCGCCCTCTCTGTGCTCTGTCCACTCGCGCTCCTGCACTCCAGAGCCCCGGAGTCCACCACCACCACAGCCGAACAGGAGGCCTCCCACCCTTGACCGGAGTGTGTCTGTCCCGGCCCTGCGGTCCGTCATCCCGCTCGGTGGGATTTACCCCCTCCCTCGCACGCCCGCGGCTGTAGACACGAAGAAGGCAAAGAGGGGGCATTATGTGAAGCACTCAAGCAGAGTCACGCTGCTGTTGAGCGAACAGGACGAAGGTGCGGAGGTGCCGGCGTACTCTACCGGGGATACGATCGAGGGCATCCTGGCAATCGCCCGCTCGTCTGGTCTTCTCGCGCTGGAGGTGAAGGTGAGATTATTCCTCGACTTAGGTGACTCCGTCGCGCATGACAAACGACGGATGCTCCCACAGGTGGAAGGGACTATCTTGATAGAAGAACTCGGCGGATCGGGGACGCGGACCGTCAAGGTCGTAGACGAGCTGGTGTACTCCTGGATACCCTCTCGGAACGGGCCCTTTCCGCCTCAAGCGTCCTTCCGGTACACTTTGCCCACGACGTTCCGCGACCCCGACTCTGGCAACCGCCACCCACTCCCGCCAACATATAGCGCGCGGCTCGACGGGATCCCCGGGTTCAGGGTGACCATCGCATATGTTGTCGCGGTCAATCTCACGCGCATGCGCGAAGCGGCATCGCTCTGGCGCGGCGTCACGAAGTGCGTGCATTCCCTGATTTGCGCGCATCTTCTGCGTCCATTGGGATGTGGTGCTGATTGCCTGTGACGATGATTCAGTATGAGAGTACCCTTTCGGTGCATCCATCGAACGCGACCAGCGCTACAGGGGCCCTTCCCAAGCCTCTCGCAAAAGACGGAAGACAAGCCGCGAACACTGTTTGCCTTCCGCCTCCGTCCGTGGCGCGCGGGCGCCCCGGTCATCAAAGTTCACGTCAGTACTTCTCATTCTCCGTCTCCTCCTGCGCGGACGCCCACATCGGTACCGCGCAGTCGCCATGTTGGAATGCAATGCTGACTGGGGTCAACGCCACCCGCGCAGGTGTACCTGCCGGCATCACAAGTATGCAGCGCACAGGAACCGATCCCCTTCCACGTCTCGCTCCTCGCGGACGAGCTCACGCTCGCGCCGTTCGCGGAGTACCGCCCGCCCGCAACGTCATTCCTCTCGCTCTCCACGTCGGTGTCCGGGTCGAATACGTCCAGCGAGTCTGTTGCCAGTTCAGGGCGGATGCCATTTCTCCCGCTGGCCGTGCGTAAGCTGCAGAGGGCGCAGCGGTGTCCACTCAGGATACAAGTGCAGCGGACGACGGTGGTAGATACGCGTCCCGCGGGACCGACAGGACACGCCCATGTGCCAGGGAAGATGGCGGACGGACGGCCACCCCTGCCCGAAGAACAGAGCCACCTGTACTGTTCGGAGTGGATTGGGCAGGGCGTGGTGCATAACACGAGCAGGCGCGCGAACACGGTGGTGTGGTCCGGGGCGATCATCATTCCGCCACGCGCGGCCGGGCTTGGGGGCGGGTTCGAGGTGGATGGGATGAAGGTCGTCGTGCGTGCATTTCCTCTGTGCAGATGCGTGAACACCGGTCGCTGATGATTTCCACGCGTGTCGTGCAGGACAGCATCGTGCTCTCGATCGAGCCCCCGTCAGGAAGCAGACCGCAGTACATCCCGTTCAGCGAGAATGTTCCTCTGCGGCTCACCTCGGACTCGTTTGCGTGTCGGAATGCGATGCCTGTATCACCATTAGCATCATGAATCGGGGTTGGACGAAGGCTACCTTACACCGATTGGCTGGATATTGACACGGACCAGTTAGAGTCTCACATATACCCACTCAAAATATTAGGACAAAGTCGAAAGACCTACGCTTCTCGTCAATGCATGACTCAATGGATGACGAGGGCCATACAGTGGAAAATCTTTCAAGCCGTGGTACGCACGTATATAACATAGCAGCTCTAGATCTGTGCCTGCGTACCGCTATATATAGCACAACATCCGCTGTGAACGCTACCAGTTCTGGTCTTGACTGGGATCGATGCCACGGTTATGCTTAGAATGTGTTTCGAGCAGCGCGCGCAGTCAAGGTGGGAGGATGAGCGGAGTGAGCGGGAGGCAAGCGGGAGGCGCTTGAGAGGAAAGAGCGCATCTTCGGCGGCCGCATGCAAAACGGACGAGCGGCTGAGGTCGCTTCGTCCCACATGCTTTTTCCGACTTCCACATGCTCGCCGTCTCTGAATGATACACCCGGCCTGCTGCTTGTCTCTGCTGCCGGCGATACATGCGGTCGACCCGCGATTCAACGGTGATTGAACAGCACGTTACCATCGACGCCTCCGGTGTCGGATGTCAATTCGGGCGCAGGGCTCGGGGGCATCGAACGATGGACCGCGTGTGTGCGCGCAGCTCTAGTCCGGCGCGTCTTCTGCTGTTGGAGCAGCTGTGTGGGGGATGGTGAGATAGTGCGCGAGTACACTGCCGGACCGTCCCCACAGTCCGCCGGTGGCAGCGGCCGACGCACGCCATATGCTTTACTCATAGCCTCCTCCTCTTTCGCTGCTCACCATTCCTCGTTATCCTCTCTCCACACGCTTCCTCTCTCCGCGCTTTCTGGGGAGCGCAACAGGACTGCCTCTAGGCGACCGCGTCTCTCCACACTCGAGTCATGTCGACGACCAGCCTTCCAAACTACGTCCCATCCTTCTCCCGCATCCCCTCCTACTCCGCGGAGCCGCAAGAATATGAACAGCGCCTGGCACTGAACCGCCCGGCCCCGAGGCCAGTTGGAGATTTCGTGAAGCAGTCCAAGGGAGGGAACGTGAGCCTCCGCCTCTTTGCACAGGAGGACAACGTGAGCTTGCCGGTATATGGGTCCGCGGCTGCGGTGGAAGGAGCCATCAATCTCACGAAGACCGACGGGGTCACTGCCGTGGAAGTCAAAGTGCGTAGCCGGCGGGAATTTAAGATCAGCGGTGCGCGTAGATCGACGAGCTTGAGCTGAATTATAGCTGTGTAGATTGAGGGTAGCCTAAAGCTGCAGGAGGTCGCCGAGGGCGGTACGACCACCCACAAGCTATGCCTCTCCAAGGTCACTTTGTGGAGCAAGGAGACAGATTCGGAACCTTGTCCAGCATCCCTCAAGTTCAGCTTGACTCTGCCCGAGACGTTCTCCGACGGCAAGGACACATACGTGAGTGGTCTTCCACATTTCATGCTGAAGAGGTGTGCTCATGGCAGTACCGCCGCCGACGTAGCCCTTGCCGCCTACCCACAATGTACACTTGTCTGGCGTTCCTGGGTTCGATGCAAATATCGAGTACGGAGTGAGCGCAACGGTGGTCAAGGGTAAGGTGTCGAGTCTACTGCAGCGGCTCACCAACTCGTGAGTCTATCTTTCAAAGGACGTGAGGCAGAGAGTGACTGTGTTTCAGTTCGATATCCACCCCTTTCATATACCACCCACGCTCCCGCCCCGCCTTGCCGCTACCCGAACCTATGTACCAGTCGCATGACATGTCCGGACTTGCCGAGTCCCCCGACTGGCGGTGTTGGGAGTCGACCATGAAGGCGAGGACATCCGGCGGCAAGGATATCCACTGCCAGGTACGTTGGACCTTGCGCTCAGCTTACTGCATGGGGCTCACACACAAGGCTTGAACAGCTCTACCTTCCCTCCTTACGAGTCTTCAGCATCAGCCAACCGATCCCGTTCCATATTATGTTCTCCTCATCCGCATTCTCGCTCGCCGCCTACCTGCCATATGGGCCCACAGCTACCATCCTCGCGCCCAACAAGCAATTCACCCGCATCAAGGTGGTCAGGCAGTCAATAGTAGACGTTCGGTACGTATAAACAGCAGCATGATATGGGATCGCGCTAACACACTTTTACTGTAGAAACGCGCTCGTTCTGGGTACGAAGACGGACATCTGGCGTGTTGACACCATTGGCGAGGCTGAATGCAGACATTCGGTACGCTCCCGCGAAAAATTGGTTTACGGTGTATGCTGACTCCACCCTAGGGCGACGGATCCGACTGGCTCTCCTTCGTCGGCGAGATCCGACTGGACGACTCGGTCAAGGTCGGAGGCTTCAAGGCGGGCGGGCTCACCGTGAAGGTACGTTGTTCCGCATCGATTTGCCCTTACAACACTCAACGCTCAACGCACGACGTTCTAGGACTTCATCGAGTTGAGCATGATACCGCCTGACCCGGTGAAGTGCCCGTTCCGGGAGATGCGCCTAGTCATTCCCATCCGACTCACCACCGACCCATGGTCTTCCGACGGGTACATGCTCGCCGTCGCCGACTCTGATTTCTCTGCGCCGCCCACCCCGCCGGACTCGCGATCACAATAGGACGCTGCCACTCTGTGCCGCTCTCTTTCGGTCAAGTTCGACGCACATTGGATATACGCTCCTGCGCCGTTGTAACATAGCTGCTTGGTAATGGATGCCTGTTGTATGACTAAATAACATTATTGTTCCTGGGAGGCCAGTGCTGCACAAATATCGGCTTGCATTGACGACCTCGTCCTTCCCGTGCCTGCCGTGCTCTCAAGGCCGTCAACATAGGCACAACATGTGAGCTTGCTTTCAGTCATTCCGTGCGTTCTTGCCGCTACTTCCGCGATTGTCCAGGTACCCGCACTTCACCAGTCTTGAGTGGATCTCAGGACCGCCTGAAGTATGCTCACGCACGCCCCGGCGACGCGACGATGCTGCATAGCCTACTGCGGGTAATTGAGGCCTGCATTGAAGCGAGTATCGTAGCGTCTACGGCGCTGCATTCCCTTACGACCGTGGTCCCTGCCGGCGCGCATCTGGGCCTCGGCAGCCAGTGCACGGCGCGCCGCTGTCCTATTCGTTCATCCCTTCCAAGCACATACCTTCGCGTTTTGGGCGTACCCGACCCCGCGAGGCACACACGGAAGGCCACTGCGTGCGCGGGTGGCCACTCGGGATTGCAGACGCATCACTGCTGCCGCGATAATGGTCGGCTGCGACAAATGCCGCTCCTGCTCCTCCCCGCGTCTCTGGTCTCCTGGCAGGAGGGCGTATATAAGATTGTACATGTCCCGCAGGGCTTTCTCTGCGCATCTCTAGGTTTCAGCGCGTTCAAGATGCGCCTCACTATCTTCGCGTCGGTCGTGTCCTGCGCGATCCCCGTTCTATCTCAGCAGATCTACGACGTAGTGCGTGTCTCCGTTTTTGTGTGTCTCAGCGTGTGTTATTGACAAGCCTTGCAGTGGTCTACGACCTGGGACAGGTCTCAGCTGTTCACGTACAAGAACCTGTACCCGAACCCGGTCCAGTTCAAGACGCCCGGGGCGATCGGTGCTGCAGACATCGTGCTCAGCGACGCCCATACATACCAGTCCCTCTGGGGATTTGGTGCATCCCTGAGTGCGTCGCTCATTCATTTACCTTTTTTGGACGCACCTTGTGCTAACTTAATATGCACAGCCGACTCCTCGGCCCAGGTGCTCAGCAACCTCAAGGTATGCATTTCTTCATTGAAAGATAAGGCTCGCCTAGTATTGACGTGTTGTGTCAGACCAAGAACTCGGACAGCTACTGGAAGCTGCTGAAATACCTCTTCGATAGTAAGTACATCCAGCCCCGTTATTTACGCTTTACTGACCATCTTCTCGATAGACACTGACGGGGCCAACTCCGCTGGTTTCTCGTACCTCCGCATCCCCTTGGGCGCCTCAGACTTCTCCACCACCGGTGAGCACGCTTCGTTCCTCGCGTATACGCGTGCATTCTCTATAGTTCATGCAATGCACAGTGTACAGTTTCGATGACGTCAGTGGCGATACCTCCCTCAAGTACTTCGATATCAACAAAGCGCCGTCTTCCGTGTTCAGCGTGCTGAAGGACATTCGGTCCATCAACAGCGCGATCAAGGTTCACCTCCTCCCATGGTCTCCGGTATGTTTATGCTACTATGTTATGCGCCAAAAACGACTTGGCTCACGCAAGCTGTGTAGCCGGGATGGATGAAGGACACGGGGTCGATGAAGGGCGGCAACTTTTTGTCCAAGTATTCGACGGCTTGTACGTGACGATCCCCTCGCGCAGTCCGCCCCAGGATGGCTCATGTTTCACACGTAGACGCGAACTACCTACTTAAGGCGCTGCAAGCCTACAAGAGCAAGGGCGTCACAGTCTTCGCCATCGGCGTTCAGGTCAGTCTCTTCATCTGGCTACGATAGCGACGTTCACGCACTAACTAACACATGTCGACAGAATGAGCCCGAGAACTACAACCCGACGTATCCGACCTGCGTGTTCACCGCCGCGCAAGAGGCACAGGTCGCGAAGACGCTGCGCACGCTCATGAACAACAACGGCTTCTCCGGCACGAAGATCATCGGCTATGACCACAACTGGAACGACGCTGCAGGATACCCAGTGGACTTGGTGAGTTTACCATCTCTACTCCGACCGGCGTAGGACTGGGTGCTAAGATCTGCGGAATAGATGAACGACGCCGCGGATGCATTCGCGGGTGTCGGCTTCCACTGCTACTCCGGCTCAGTTGGGCAGCAGGACGCATTCCATAGCGCGTACCCGAAGAAGGACATCCTGTTTACGGAGTGCTCGGGCGTGTACGGCAGTGACTGGTGGAGCGACCTAAAGGTAGGCGAATTCTCTGGGCATGTGCATGTTAATACGATGGCTGACCCTTGTACGTTTACAGTGGTACATGGACAACATGTGAGCGTCCGGTCTCAGTGAGGGACACGACCGTTTCTCTGACCTGCGCGCAGATTCATCGGCTCGATCGAGCACAACTCCAAGACAGGTCTCATGTGGAACCTTGCCCTCGACGGGAACGGGCAACCTATGCTGCCTGGGACGAACAGCTGCTCTCCGCCGTGCCGCCCTGTCGCAACCGTCAACAGCGACGGGAGCTGGAGTGTGAACCAGGAGTGTGCGTTATTAGTAGCGTCCTCAGCTCGATGCAGGCAAAACTGACTTGACTCGCATCTCACCAGTCTACGCGATGGCGCAGGCTTCGAAAGCCATCCTTCCCCGCGACGCTGGTGGGCCGTTCGGAAGGCGCATCGGGGTCAGCCTCGGAGGCAGCCAGAGCTGGGCGCTGCGCGTCAGCGCGTTTGTCACCGGGCGCGCGAACTCGAACGACTGGCTGCGCTACAGCCTTGTCGTGCTCAACTGGTACGCGTCCCGCAGTTGTCGTTGTCGTTGATCAACGGGGCTGACGCACCCTGCACAGGGCTGATAACACCAACGGCGCATGGAACCCGACCCCGGTAAAGACGACGATCGAGTTCCGCGGCCAGCAGGTGAGAGGCTTGTCTGTCTCGGTTGCGTGGTGGCTGACGGTGGACCCTTAGGCAACGTACACCTTCCCTGTGGGGATCACCACACTCTGGTGGTACGCGTCGAACCAAGGCCACTTCAAGAGAGAGGACTTGGACGATGAGGCCATTGTGTTCGGGAACTCGACCGCCGCTACGCTCTCCGCCCAGACGTCCACCGATGGAGCCACTGAGGACTTTACCTCCGAGGGCACCCTCTACAGCAAGTCCAACGGCGAGAAGGTTCGACGCACCAGGTTCTATTGAGCATACGCGGCGTAACGTTGAGCAGCGTTCTGTTGATTTCTTGTATTTCTATATATACTCCGTCCTGTTACTCGTGTACAATAAATAGCGTTGGTCCCACATAGAGACTGTCGGTTGCTTCAACTTGTGCTTGCCGATTGGGAGTGAAACTTCGGTGTCCTACGAGTGCGATGGCACTGTTAGAACCGCGGGTGCAGCGTAACAGGCAGCGCCGGCCGCCGCGTCATGAAGAAGTCCTTGAAGCCTTCCTCATACGCACTAGGGTCCCACCCCGCCCTCAACCGCACCTCGAACTTCTGCACGACCGCACATGCGACTGCACGCATTTCCTGCATCGCCATCGGCCGCCCGACGCAGTTCGCGGGTCCGTGAGAGAACGGGAGGAACGCGGCGTCGTTGTGCACGAAGTCCATCCCCGTCTTTTCGGAAGCTGGCGCGCGTCCCGTAGCCAGCAGCCAGCGCTCGGGCCAGAAGCCCTCGGTGAAGGGCGCGAAGTTACGTGGGTCGCGGTGGAGTGACCAGGGCGGAAGGTACAGCGCGGTGCCCGGCGGGACGTAGCTGAAAGCGATACGGAGCGTCAGAGAATATTACGGGTGAAGGGGTGCGTGCAGCGCGTACTTCGACCCGAGCATGACACCTTGGCCGCGATGCGGAACCTGGCGTTGGGTGCCGGTAGGTACGGGTGGATAGAGACGCAAAGTCTCGTTGCTATACAAGATAGAAGCCATATTAAACATTTGAATTGAGCTTCCTGGAGATAGGCAAGGGCTCACATAGCGGCAGTGAGGTAGTGCATATCGCGGTAGTGCTTCGGGTCACAGGGATTATCGCCTGGGGGATAGAACTGATCGACTTCGGCCTGGAGACGCTTGTATGCGTCCGGATGCGTTGCGAGGCAGAAGAAGAGACTTGTCAGTCCGCTTGAAGTCGTGTCCGCGCCTGCGATGATCGCGAGGATGCCGTCGCTGACGAGCTGAATCTCCGGGGGCGGGGCTCTGTCGGGAAGGTCTTCGTTGCTCTACTCGCAATAACACGAAAATGAGCGATTGGCGATATCTATGCATATATGTCGGTGAGGAGTGCGCACCAGATAGTGGAAGACGTCCTTGCGTTCCGAGCCACGTTGGAGGCGCCGCAGAGTAAACTCTCGGCAATGCACACCCATGCGCTTGCCAGGCCTAGACATGAACGGGAGGCGCGCAGCATACATTCCGAACCACGGGACGTGGCCGATGAATGTGGCTGGCCTGTTCATACTGTGAGCATTCGGTACTCAACGGACTCAACTCATGGATACTTACGGTGATCCAGCGCCCATCGTATCCCAGATCCCGTCCTTGTCCCCGTCGCGCATCAGTTCAGAGCCGCCGCCATAACTGAGTTAAACAGCGTAAGCATCGTCGTGGATGCGACCGACTGATAGACACGCACGCCATATCACACATGAAGTCGTATCTGCAGAATATATATGCCCACGTCAGCTCCACCAACATCAAGCGAAACAAATGAACGCACGCGAAGTAGTTGATGTATACACCCAAGGACACCTCCCCTTTCTGGCGTTCCAAAACCTCGATAAGTTGGTTCGCTCTGTTGGAGACCCGTGGCTCATATTCCTTCAGAGCGGCAGCGCTGAATGCGCGACTCCACGGCTTTCGCCGCTCGTGGTGCACAGCGGTGTCCATTATACCGGGGAGGGGCAGGTTTGTGGTGGTACGGATACGACCGACCATCACTACGACATTCCAAACACAAATGAGATCTCGAGGCGTTATTGGAGACATCAGACACTTACACGGTCCTTTGGGGACTCCAGACGGTCCCAGCATTGCGCTGAGAATTGATGGGTCTCTGAAAGACAGCTCGTTTGGGCCTGGAGGGAGAAAGTTGAAGTCGCGTTACAGCTGTAAAGACACCGCCACTACTCACCTGTCCTAACTACATCGCCGTATAGATCGTGAAGCTCCTTCATGTACGTGTGTTGATCGCCGTTCAATCCGATGCGGGCCATCCAGAACTTGGTCAGCCTGCATGGCAGAGGTCCGGGATACCGCGCAAGAGGATGGAACGGTGACAAGCGATAGAGCACGACGGACGTTAGCAAAGTTGAGTAGAAGAGCGTGAGAGAGGCGACGATCGCATAGAATAGCGGCAGGGTGAATCCCAAGAGACCAGAACCGATCAGAGGGGGGGCAGTGAGAAGCAGGAGGTGCACGGCAATGGAGTAGGTCTCAAGACGTCTGAACAGCTGGTGCGTAGTCTACAGGCGATAGTCAGCAATCGCCGATGTCGATCCGTAATCAGGGTGTCATATCGCGCAGAGACGTACCAAAGCCAGACCACAGACTGCGATACAGCCAGCCTCAGTCGAGACACGGGGGTCCAATTCGAAGGTCATTATCGCAGTGGTACACGGTGGAGATAGAGTTGCCTCAACCCCTCAGCATGTCTCTTATAGTCATGCTCGCGCTGCGGAAGCTTTCGTGCGCTAACGCTAGCATCATATAGGCTTGGCCTGCATCTGCCGGTCAGAATCGGGTTGATGCAGGTCCATTGAGGGGTAACGATGTCAATTACGAAGCTAATGCACTGATGAGAAAGGCCGCATGAGTCCGAGTGCATGGGTCTTGGTGGATATGAGGAGATAACGTACCCGCTTGTGGAGAGCGCGTGGTTTCTAGCAGACTAAACTTTGTCTGACACACTCATACAGACTTGTGTGCACCTCTTCAAGGCCTTTCATGAACGGCGGGAAGGATGTGGAACGAAAGCATCACAGCTAGCTCGTCCGAATCTCATCTCACTACGGTGGCTCAAATGTAAATGCGATCAAAACCCAAGACAAGATACCACGCGTCCGCTGGACAGTTCGTGCAGCCGGTTAGTCTCGTTCCCAGACCTTCTACAGAGGCTCTCCCCCCTCCCGCACGCTGAGCGCTGTGATTGGCCAAAGGAATGGTGCACAGGCGCTAAAATATTTTGGCCAGGTTCTCACGAAGGGATTTGAGCGCGCGGGGGGGAGAGCCCTGTAGAAGGTCTGGGGCATTTCGTGGGCGGTAAGGCCACTCGTGACGGCAGGTCACGTTACGTCAGCGATTTCTCGTCATCGCTGTCCGGCTTGCAGCTGATCCCGACGCTTTGCATTCATTATTTTAAAATAATGGTGGCTTTGAAAGTCGCTTGTAAAGCATTTTTGAGTCTATTGCACTATGTTTGAAGGCGAGGCGAGGCGTGGTTGAAGCGCAAATGCATTCCCTGCGATTTCGCGGCGCGTTGACAGCCAGCGCTAACGCCGTTTGCGGGCGCTTGGGGGTCTTTCACGTCGCACTCCCCGCTCAGTCTGCGTGGCGTTGAATATCCCCAGAATTGGAGTGACAGTCGGAGGCTAACCCCCAAGCACAACCACAAACTTACAGAATATGAGGTGCCCGCATTATGATGCCATTTGAGTAACAGTATCGTCACGAATAACGTTTGGTGACCCCCGTAACCGTCCTGTCACGAGTGGCTGTTTTGGGCCCGAAATGCCCCAGACCTTCTGGTGCACGCCCTGTAAGCGCCAGAAGGGATGGGAACGAGACTAGCAGCCGGTGTGATTCTGGGGTCTTCGAGACAAGCAGATGAGAGCAGATGATGAGTGCATTGGAGAGAAGAGAGAGGGCCAAGGCTCGGGAGAGGACTCGAACGTTGTGCTGGGCGTTCTAGATCGGGAGGCTAAACCGAAAAAGGCAGGCGCGCGGTATATCATGCGCCTCCCTTGCCATCCGCGACCCTGGCCGCTCCCTCCATGATCTCCATCTGCCTCCTCCTCGCGCTCTCCTCAGGCCTCGTTCACGCCCAACCCTCCAACTGGCTCCGCAGGTTCACCCCAGGCTCGCGTGATGATGGCAGCTGGCTGTGGAGCTGGGCTTGGGCCTCCGATGGCACAGTCTCCGTAGTCGACCGCTCTCCTTCAGTCACTTTCCCTGCCCGGCCAGCGTCCTTCGGCCTCGAGCTCACAGACCCGCTACTGGGATATGTGATCCCTCTTTCTGCCTTCACCGCACCCTGCCCTTATGATCCCGACAACTCGACATCCCGGAGGCATTCGTTTGACCCCGACGCTGTTTTCGGATGCCCGGAACTCTGCACAATCGGGAACCATGAGCCCGAGACCACAGATACCTGGATCGCTCTGGTCCAGCGCGGCGGCTGCCCCTTTGTCGAGAAGGCACGACAGGCGCAGAAGCTCGGAGCAAGAGCGGTTGTTGTGGGCGGAGATCGGGACAACCCTGACGCTCTCCTGAACATGTTCAGTGAAAGTACGCATCTATGACCTATATTTTCTGTCTCTATCGTCTAAACGAACTCCACAGGGGATGCGTCTGATGTCACCATTGCTGCGACGTACATCAAGTACTGGGATTATGTGCAGTTGTCGCATATGATTGCCGTATCAAATACCACCCACTCTGGACTCAAGACCCTCTCTCTCCTGCTGAACACCGAGTATTCTGCATGGGAATGGTACTCGTACGTTCTTGTCGTACGATCTTTGTGCATATAGCTAATAGCCACTCTTGTCAGCCCCATCATAACCTTCATTATAATACTTCTATTGCCCTCTCTCCTCACCTTCATCACGCTCCTCATCCACCGCGTTCGCGCTGCACGGGCTGCGCAGCGCGACCGCGCCCCCGAAAGTGTCGTGCACAACCTTCCTTGGCGGGAATGGACAGGGACAGGCTGGGAGAAGCACGAGCCTACTTCCGACCCCGCGGAGCCCTCGTCTACACCCGATCCAGACCTCGAGCGCGGGCCGGATGCCCCGGTTGCGTCGACGTCGCACGACCTGCCGCTGCCCGCCTGGGTCGAAGAGCAAATGGAGTGTGCGATCTGCCTGGAGATGTTCGTGAAGGGCGATCGCGTGCGCGTGTTGCCATGCTACCATTTGTTCCATATCGCGGAGATCGACGAGTGGCTCATCCACAAGAAGAAGCTGGTACGTGCCCGTACTCCGACTGGTTTGTAGCATGGTGCTCATGAAAGCCCCCAGTGCCCAATATGTAAGGCGGATGTGACGCAACCCCGAGGCCACCCTTCCGATCACTACTCGGGAGACCAACCCTCCGCCGAACACTCCGACCCGGAGCAACTTCCGTCCTCGTCCACACCTTCTCGCTCCCCCTCCACGGTTCCGCAGCCCACCGAGAGGACACCGCTCCTGCAGACCTCGGGACAGCCATCCAATGACGAGGCGCCACAGTCCGCCTCATAACCCTCCGCCTTGGTTCCACCTAATGACCTTTCTCACGACCTTTCTGACGTATACCATGGACCCCAGGACCCGGGACCACCTCCCTACCATACGTCGCCTCTATTGGGCCTTACTTCTTCGTTCAGTTGCCGCTGTACCACTACTCAATTCGCCTGCGGCGGTTATGTATCCACGTAAATGTAACAATCCTTCTTGAAACGTTCGTTAACGCTCACGAGATAGTTCTGGCGAGCCGCCTCCAAGTCTAGAGCCGTCCAAGCAGCGCCAAAGCTGAGCGCATCTGTTTAGAGTCCCCTCTGGGTGGATCGAAGCGTAAGTTTCGGACCAATGATTTCAATGCAACACAGCGTGTCGATCTGCCGGCGGGACGACCGTTAGCATGCCGCCAGCCCTCTGGACCACGGCGCCGAATTCGAAGTCTGCCACTGTTGTGCACCGCAACGGCGAGCTCGGACAGGCACGGCCACACACGTCACTGAACGCACCCGGCCGTCGACGTCGGCGCGCAGCGCGAAATGGAGCGTCCTGTGTTACGTCGAGGTCAATCAGGGGTGCGGAGGGAAGCCCAGAGCGCGGGTCGGACGTCGTGAGCGCGTCTGGGGGGAGCGCAAACGCGCGAGGTATATTCGAAATTGCATGGTGAAGGGAAGGAACAATAAAACACATGCTGTTACTGCAAGAACAAGGTGAGTTCGTCTCGTTCGTTTCGTGTTCATCGATCACTAATATTCCACATTTTGGCGGATGCAGGAACGAATTTCTCTGCCTCAATTACAGCCGCGGGCGAGAAGCGCACGCATGCGTTTGCGCTGTTTACCTCCGCAATTAAGGAACGGCGAACAGTCGGTTGGGCTGATATACGAGACAGCTCGTCGGGAAGCGCTCGGCATCGAATTCGCGGGCGACAACCGTAGGCCTAGCCATGTTTCTGCGAGTGTAGGAGTAAGTCTCTGCGCCTTCGGTTCTGTGTACATCGTTTAAACCATGTCAAACAGCTGAAAGCCCGCGCAATGTTCAAAGCACTTGCCGCTGGCCAGAAGGGCTGCGGCTTGACTGGAAGGGAACACGCCCTGCGTGTTAACGCCGGCCTCCACATGGTACACCAGCGACGAGAGACGCTCGAACTGTTCATGGACAGATATTCGCTACACTCTGTCTCTCTCGTCTCCGTCAAACAGTGGGGCTGGCGCGGCTGGCAAATCATACACCCTTGCGCCTAAGATGCGGTTCTCAGTGAGCTTAATTCTTTGCTGATACTCCCGGCCCTCCACGGAACCGAGTTCTCTCAAGCCCTGGAGCTCGGATATGTTCAAGAGATTCTTGCATCTCGCGGCTTCTGTATCCATCGAGGATTTCATAAAAGCTGGCATCGTCGCGTGAGTCACATATCACTGCACTCAGCTACAAGCGCAACCCCCAATATCCCACCGCTGCTGTACTCAACGAGATGAGTTCTATCACCTCAGCTGAACTCAATGCCGCGTTCATCGAAGAACGTGATTTTATGTGCGTATATGGAGTTTCGATGCACCTAGCGTATTTCTTAATCGATTCATTCTCTCAGCTTGACGACTCAGAACTTCTTCGCTATCGCCTCTGTCGGTAAGCCTGCAGCCAATGAGTTCCGTTTGTGCCCGCGTAGCTGACGAAAGGCAACGACACAGTTCTGCTTATATGGAACTACATCTTGACCTTCGAAAAAGAGGTCGCCTTCTTTTGGAAACGGGGGCTCTTCTCTGGCGCGTGCGTTCTGTTCCTCGCGAACCGCTACCTCGTCCTTGTCGTCGCCATCTACCAATCACCTTGGTGGAACATACATTATTCATATGCGGTGAGCCTGTCTGCGCATGCGTAGTCGCTTGTCAATCTTCCTTCATTGACCCCGGCGTACACAGTGGCACTGAGTATCCTAATCATGAGGCTATAATTCCGGGTACCGCTGACTATCCTGCCGCGCTCGTGGATTGGACGAGAAGATGCAGTGTGGTAGTGTATGTACAAGCGTTCTGCCAGTACTCTCAGTATGTCATCTGGGCAGGTGAGCAAACGTTCTGAAAGAACCGCATGCGCATCGTAGAACGCTGACACCCCGAGCATAGTATTCTCTTGTCTTCGCGTATATGCATTGCAAAGGCAGTGGAAATGGGCGGCCACTGTGGTCCTCATTCTTTCGCTTGTCACAGTCGTCAATTGCTTCGTGAGTATGCGTGATAGCTCCTGTGGTGCCGACTAACGTGGCGACTGACAGGCGAACCTACGATTCGTTCATATCTCGGCTGGCCCAGCGTATGGATGCCATTTGCGGGATGATATGCCGTCGCTTGTGGAATCAAGGTACGCATGTGTGGCTCTGCTTTCACTTGGAGCTTGGACGCTGATCGTGTGCTTTACCGTCATAGATGTAAGTTCACTAACACTCACCAAACTCCTCTAACCCGGCGTGTCCTTAGTGGCGATTGCCTCTCGCGCATCTCTCGTTGTGGCAGAGGTTCTTGTTATGGCCATTACCTATGTTGAGATGGGTCACTATCGTCACAGTGCGGACATCATAAGTGTCTTTCAAAAAAGGTTGACACTATCAAGTGTGTTCTACGAAAACGGTGAGCCACAATTTAAGGCCGAACATCGGATACTGATGAAAATCGCGCGCCTTAAATAGGCAGGATATACTTCGTGTAGTACCCATCAAGCGCGAAACTGCCTTGATGCTGACTTTCGGATGTTCAGATTGGTGACTCTCATGAACGCTTACTATCTTATGACCTGGATGCCTCTTCCCGCGCGTATACTTCGCTTTCCACTCACCTTCAAAGTTGTTCTGATACTTTTCCTTACAGGACTCTTTGGCGACGAATACAACCCTGCTATATTTCGTGGAGTTTACTAGTCCCCAATTCGCCGAGCCGTAAGCATCACCTTCTCGGACTCCACCTCCTGTGTCCTCATGCCGTCGTACTGTATCCGCGCCTGTAGTGTAATTGGGATCCTCGTCAGCCATTTCCTGATTGGGATCCAAGAAGTTGCGTCCGCGCGCGCACTTCTTTCCGCAGAGTCACTCCCACTAGAAGCCTCGGACGGCCCGGCCGAACCCGAAACGATTAGCTTGCTGCAGTTCGTCCGCGCGGACGTCGACGAATGGATCCAGTCCGAGTCCACGCATTCCGCGGTCGCTCGCAGTGCCCTGTCGCAGGGCGGTGGCCCGGGGATGCAGGGAGAGGAGGGAAGTATCGAGGTGTCAGGGCAGACAGTTTGATAGAGCATTAGAAATGTAGTATGTATAAATTATTCTGGATGCGAATATCCCAATCATTCTCAATCCCCGGGCAATGTTGTTGAACACACGACTCGGGCCAGGACCTCCAACCGGCAGGGTCTGTTGAAGAACTACTTCCGTCTCTTGGAAGTCCTCCGTGCTCCTCTACCGTTTACACTGGACTACTTGATTTTAACCTCACTCTTGTGCTGTCTATCGCTTAGAGACATCGGAGCCACCACCAGTCAAGCCTCGAATAAGTATCGCGCATCTGTTACTCACCACTGTTCTGACGCCGTGGCCGCGGTGCAAGAGAAGCTGCACACCCTCGTCAACCAAATGTCATCTCCATTTAACACAGCCTTTCTTGTGTGATCATGATCACCTAGAGGTATACTGTAGGTCTTGAACGTGAGGAACGCGATGGTGAGGGTCATAGCGGAACAAATTTAGACAAACACAAGCCGGAAGTGGTGGCTACAGCACGCTGTCCCCCGAATGAATAACCCTACCACATTACCACCCCGTTGGCTCAGTCCGAATCTACCATCTCCCCGTCGCTGTCCTCGTCGCTGGTATCATCTTGACTCGGTCCGAGCGCGCGTATCTCGAACACGTCTCCGTTACCCTCCGTTCGCAAGATCCTACGCGAACCCCGGCTAAGCATACATGCCGCACAGTGAAAGGGAAGAGGGACGGCGGGCATACTGATCAAAGAGCGCGATCGCGTTTCGGTCGTCCTCGTCGTCCTCGTCAACCGTATCGTCGATAATGCCCATCGCGCGCAGCAGCAGAGTGCGCGAGTGCGGGTCCGATGCTGCGACGGTGCGCACTTCTTGTGGTGTGAGATCCAGAGGCTCAGTAGAGGGCGAGGCGGACGCTGGGCTGTGGAGGCGGATGTATCTTTCGATGCCGGCGGTAAGCAGGTATGGGCGGTCCGGGTGTATGAGCGCCGTGTTCACTATAGAGTCATGTCCTACGACAAGGATGTTAGATAAAAAGCAGAGGGAAAGAAAGCGGCGAGCGTCTACCTGTGAGGCGAGCGTGTGGCACAGAGAGCTCGGCTGGGACATAACGGGGGCTGAAGTAAGACTCAGCATATCCTAAGTACCACCGCATGACAATCAGCAAGTGCGTCAGGACACTCAGAGCAGGCTTACCGATCTGTCCTGCGTCCGCGCACGTATCCCAATTAGCATGGTCGATCACGACGCGCTGCTCGCGGAGTGCAGCCTCGTCTGGTATCTTCCACAGATATGTCCGGAAGTCGTCGGACCCGTGCGCATAATAGTCGTCTCGGTCTGACCCAAAGCCGCCAAAGGTGCCATACTGAATAACGCATGTCAGCGCGACGCCACCAAACACGGAACCTAGGAAAATGGACCTTCATGGTACAGCTATTAGACCATGTACGCTCCCCTGGGAGGACGAGAGACCCGTCTGGGTTATGGCGCCCGCTGAACGTTGCGATCGGGTAAGGGTCTTCCAAGGTATAAAGGGTTGGGGTGTGGTGCTGTTGTCAGAGACGTCAGGATAAGTCTATGACTTGAACGTGGTGCGTACAAGCATTGTGAGAGCTAATTTGCGACCTGTGCGATAGTTCACGATATGCTTTACCTGTACAAGAGCAACGAAAGCCTACCTTCTCGATCAAACGTCAGACTGCTCGTCTCCGGTTTCGCCATGCACGCTTGACCTTGTTTTGCTATTGTGGTGACGTACTGAGCTATGTTAGTCACCGCGCGGCCAGAAACTGATGCGCCTACTTTGTGCACAACGCCCTTGCGCTGGCGTTGCGAGGCTGGGCCGAACGCCATTCGTACGTCGCGGAGACAGACTGCACCTTGTGTATCGCTTGTCGCAAATAGCTGGGTCATGATAGGGTGATACTGGACGGCTGAGAAGGGCGCAATTTGCTGCAGTATTCCCTGAGCACGAGTTCGTCTGGCGTCGGCGCGCATGTCATGCAGAATAATGCGTCCATCCTCTCTGGGAATATGTGAGACGACCCATTGTGAGGGTAACTGAAAGGCGAGGAGCTCACGATGCGCTCAGGAAGACGTGATCTTGTTCAGGATGACAAGATATTTCACGGATGCTATCCTGGAACATGTGAGTACGCACTGTAGACAAGTAATAGAACTAGTGCATACATCATGCTGATTATCACTGGCGTGAGGCGGGCTAGGCCGGCCACTTCTGCTAGCTATAGGGGAAGTTGTATGCGACAGATCATACTGAAGGATGTCTGCTCGTGTGTCGCCTCTGTAAACATAGTCTGTCAGAACCGGCTGTGAAAGTCGGCCACAGGTGTCTTACGAAAAGAGGTATTGACCAGAGGCTGAGAAAGCCAGCGTGAAAACATTCGACTTATGAGGATGCACGCTCAGACGGAACTACATAGTGAGAATTCCTCATATGAAAGACCGACCTTCGGTCCCACAAATTTCCACGCAGGCTCCGACAATGTTTCTTGATTGAAGTCCCACAAATGGACATATGGATCTTGCCCAGGACATGGCTCAGTGTACCGTCCCATGGCAGGGCTATTGCCTGAGACTTTCCATACCATCACCGGCGCTTGCGAGCCATCGCCCGTCTTTGGATATCGTTAATGCATTGACGCAGGAAGTGTGACCTGTCAGTTTCCTGCAGATAAACCGTTGGATGAGTAGGTGTATGTTCGTTGATGTAGGCCGCTCAACTTGGAATATGGCAGACCATCCGCTAGGAGCGTGTCGACGGCCGTCCGCCTCGACGAAATTGAGGTGGCTTTCCTGAGACAGTCGTGTGGTACCCACAGACGAGGCTTCTTGTCTTTATGCGCGGAAGACATTCCTTGCAGAGCTATGGTGTCCAAAGCTGTGGTACAGCTTTATGCGCAGAGGATGATGGGAGCTTGACTGTGTTCATGAACAGCTCATGTGTGATCAGCGCGCGAGCACGCAGCCGAGTTTCATTCTCTTCGCGAGGGAGGGCAGAGTTGTCCACAGTGCTGGTAATGATACGTATCTGTGAGGAAGGTCAATTTGAGCCTAGAAAGTGTTGCAGGTGGTGGTGGTACGGTGGATAGAGGCGGGGCTCACTGGCGCTCATATAATGCGCTCATGTTCGGCGGAGCGGTACCGGTCGCCGGTGTTGTACCCCATATGCATGAGCCTACATAGCAGCCTGGTCTACAGTACCCCTCTCCTACCTACCACCAACTGACGACCAGCACGACCACTACCAGTCGGTATGCGATCATTCGAAGGTCAAATTTACATAGCATCGTGCGCTACTCTGTAGGAGGTTAGTCGGCATGGATGACTTTCAGAGGCTGACGTTCGCTCGCCAGGCTTGGAATGCAGACTGCTGCAATCGGCGTGCGACAGCCCCGCCTTAAATCGGGTACACTCGGGCTTTTGCCCTACAGTTACCCTCACCTCTCTCCAACCCCAACTTGCTCGTACTCTGGACACATAGCAAGGGTCACCAGCACAGTACTACTCAGCGATGTCGCCCTTCATCCTGATTTCACCCGCTACGCGTGGTATCTCCCTTGCGCTCATCCGCCATTACCTCAGTTCCACGTCACTACCAGTCTTTGGGACATACAGACCAACTTTTCCCTCGTCCAAGGAACCTCGGACGCCAGACTCGGTACGCGAACACATTCTCCAGCCTCTCAGCGGCGTCGATCCCTCCCGTCTGCGCCTCCTCCCGCTTGACTTCACTTCGGAGGAGAGCATCGCTGCTGCGGCAGACGCACTCGCGGCCGCGCTTCCCAAGGATACCGAGTCCTACATCCGCGTCGCGTTCTTTCTTGCGGGCATCTTGTACCCCGAACGCCAACCTAACGACTTCTCGCTGGAGAACATCTCAGAAACGTTCAACCTCAACGTCATCGCGCACATGCTCCTCATCAAGCACTTCTCTCGCTTTCTGCCCCCCGCCTCGGCCGGCAAAGCGAGTGATGCGCTCGCGAAGTGGGTCCACGTCTCTGCCCGGGTCGGCTCGATCTCGGACAACAAGCTCGGCGGGTGGTACTCGTACCGCGCCTCCAAGGCCGCGCTCAACCAGATCATCCGCACGTTCGATCTCCACCTGCAGGCCAAGAAGCTCCCCGCGATCAGCGTCGGGGTACATCCGGGAACAGTTAAGACGGATTTCAGCAAGCAGTTCTGGAGCGGAGTCAAGCCCGAAAAGCTGTTCGACCCTGCGTATGCTGCTGAGCGGCTAGCCGAGGTTGTCAAGGGGCTTGGGAAAGGCCAAAGGGGGAGGATTTGGGACTGGAAGGGCGAGGAAGTGAAGCCCTGATGTTCCGAAGGCTCCCCTGCCGGCCACTGTTTCATCTAGGCGCGTCTGTGAATGTGAGCTCGTCCCCGATTATAAATATAATGGGGAATATGTTGAGCTTTCATCACGCACCTTCGCGTTGTAAGTATTTGGATTCACCGAGGCCATTAGTCTACTTAGCGTCCTGTTGGAAGCACTCTATATGCCAGGTAAGTATCCTCCGGTCCCTTGAAGACACTCGCTGGATGTAATCTCTGCTCACGCAGCCCTTCGGTTCTGAGGTGCACATTTCAGGCTAGATACACACATGCAGGTACCCACAACGGCCAAAGGCACGGAGATCTCAACCATGAATGCAAAAATTCGGATGACATTTCGCTAGTTATACAATCAGGTAAAGTATGTGATAAATCCGTATCTTCCTCACCCACAACAACCCGGGAAGAGAACCACCACAGCGCGCTAGGACAAAACATGACTGGGCCAGCGCACCCAGGGACCGGGAGCAATCACAAACGAGAGAAGCACGGTCATGCCCAAATGGTAGCGAACACGCCGTTCAGCCACTCCTGGAACTTGTCCAGCTTGTACATGCCCCGGGCGCCGGTGAAGCCGCCGACAACCAGTGTGAAGTGCGTGAGGGACAGCGCGATGACCAGCGCAATCACTGACGACAGGCTGACGAGCGGCTCGTCGGACGGCGGCTGCGACGCCTGGAAGACGATCTTCGGCTCCAGATCCGTCGCCGGCGGGCTCGGGGGTGACGACTCGACTGGGGAGTGCAGCGGGGAGTCGATCTCAACGTCCGACGAGCTCGAGCTCGAGCTCGACGGTGCGTGGAGCGCGTCGAAGATCGCAGTGTTGTAGTCGAACGCGAGCTCCGCCTCGTCCAGGATCTCGGCTGTGCAGAAGAACACGGACACACAGGCACGTCAGCACTATTTCTGGATTCCCCGCGCAAAGCACAGCACGCCACGCTACCTTTGAGCTCCGTACTGTCCCCGACGCCCGCGTTCATGCCCTCCCGGTACCAGTCCTTGATCTTCTTGAGGTCGCCCATCGTCCCCGCCGAGGCGCTGCTCGCGCCGCCGAGCGGCCGGAACTCATAGAAGCTCACGCCCGCACCGTCCTCGAGCCCGTACGCCTTCACGATGCGCCTGCGGATGAACTGCCCGCCGCTCAGGTCGCCAAGGTAGCGTACGTACGCGTGCGCGAGGAGCCGAGACGGGTCCGGGCCCGCCGCGAGCTCCCGGATCCGCGCGACGTATTGGGTGAGCGCTGCGGGCGGCGCGGTCTGGAGCGCGACGTGCAGCGGGTGCGTCTGCCAGGACGACTCGGGCACGCCGAGCAGGTAGCTGATGTCGGCGGCGATGCTGGCGGTGCGCGCGAAGAGCCCCGGGTTGTGCGTGGGCGCGAGCACAGGGTGTGTGGCGTGCTGCTCTAGGGCACGCTCGAACGCGCTGCGGGCACGGGGAACGTTGTCAAGATGGACATTCTGCGATGAGGGAGCGTACTCACTCGTAGACGTGGTAGACCATCATGAGGAAGCGGATATATTCCTCCTTGTCCAGCTCGCCACGGGCGAGCCACTTTGCGCCCTGGCTGTGTTCAGCCCGTTCGTGCGCCGCGGAGGTGCCCTTGCGGAGAATGTCCGCCACAGGGAGAGAGAGGTCTACTACAGCCGCGGTAGAAGTAGCCATTGCGGGGGCAGAGCAGCTGGCGTGCGGGGCGTTGCGAGGGAGGCAAGGAGGGTGGTGGGTCCTTGGATGTGGGGGGAAAGGAAGGAATAGATGTTGCTTAATAAACAGAATACACCTCCGCAGGAGGCGATGACCCGTGCACAAGCTAGCCTAGGATGAGGAGTCCCGAGGAACCGGAAGGAAGGAGGGATTTCGGAGGGAGACGAGGAGGGCCAGCTGCAGGAAAGAGCACGCAACGGCACCTGTGCTGATCACACCATCTTTATCTTATCTGATAACTCGTTTCGCACTACCCTCAGCTTGGCGCCCTTCGCAGATCTGGGCGCAGCGTCCGCTTCGGGCGTTCTTGGAAGCCGATGTTCCTTTCTACCACCGCATGCCGCCGCCCCTCGTCAGCTCTCCTGGTCCAGCGTTCAAACTAAAATCCAAGAGCTGCGGCACAGTCCATGGACGTGTCCTGTACATCACAAGCGCTAGCATATGACGCTCATATCCATTGGTGGAGTACATACTACATACTGGCATGCTGAGACGGTGACGAGGGACTTCTAAATACGGTACGGAATAACCACGGACTTCCTTGTGCGAACGTACGAGGGCCGGTGGAGAGAAGACGAAGCTACGTAAAATACAGAGACGGTTTGCCTTAAACCGCACAGGAGATGCCACGCAATACACGAATGCGAAATAACGTAGGTCACACCGCGGCGTACGTGCCGAGTGGAATAAAATATTGCTGACGAACACCGTCCGACGAAGATATTGAATGATGAAGAGAACCGGGAGCCGGGGGGAAAGATGACGTGCGCGAGGGGGCGCGGGGGGAGGCGTGCAGACACCTCAAGGCATCTCCGCGGCGAAGAGCTGTGGGAGAACATGAGCCAATACACCCCCGAATACAGCAAGGTAAACTCACCCTTGCCACGCCAACGTCCGGACCATGAACGGGCGTCGGCGGCGTAGACAACGGTCTGACTACAGAGCGAGCCGCCCAAATGCCATCCGGGCGGTACATGCCAGCAGGGGGTTCGCGATCGAGAAGCGTGCTTCCGTCCACAATGCGATGTGGCGAGTACGCTTGGGGCATCGCCACTGGCTGTGCGGCGGGTGTAATGAGTGTGAGGCTCTTCTTCGCGCGATGCATGGCCTTCGGGGTAGGGGCTGCCTGGATGGACGCTGGAGCCGCCATGGGAAGACCAGTAGGGAGTGTGGGGAAGGCGAAGGCCTGGATTGAGGGCACGAAGGGGTACATGACCGGATACGGGACGAGGACGGGAGAAATGGGGGAGATGGGGCTGAACATGGGGGCTTCCGGATAGCCGTAGACGGAGTCATCTTCATCCTCATCTAAACGGCCGTATATCAGTATAAGCCAGATAGCACCAATAATAGCGACCTACTGGTTTCTGGATGAGCATACTTGCAGTCGACGCCCTCTGAGCACCGCCCCATCAAGAAGTTCTCACATACTTCCCCTGAACACGCATACGAAGCACACATTAGTCAATTTATGATTGATGCCACGAAGACTGGGAGCTTACGTTTTCCTCCCAGCGTGACCCCGCCGCCGACAACCCGCCAGGTGACGGGGTAGAAGTTGGTCTTCTGGTCCTCCGCCGTCACTGAGGAGCATGTTGGCGCCTCGGATGTCGCCGCAGTGCTCGAAGAGAGCTCGCCTTGTACGCTAGAGTCTGCTGCACTCTCCTCTTCGCCCTCTGACATAACTTCCGCGGCCACAGCAAGACCTGTCGGGAGCCTTCCGTGCTCCGGGGTCTCGTGCATACTGCAACGCATCGTCAGTGGCGCACACAAAGTAATATGACTGGCGTCCTTTACAAGTTGCACCTATCGCCCTTGACGCACCCTGTGGGCTCTGCGAAGAACCGGCATGGCTTTGCTGCACGTACACAGGTGAGCCACTTGACGCATGCACCCACGCAGAACGCCACTCACTTCGGAAGAACTGATTTCTCTTCTGCGCCCGGTGTGGCGCCGCGGTGGCACCCCGCCCTGAACGCACGCTCTCTGTCCGATATACCGGGTCCTGCACGCGCCGGCCTACCGGACTACGTCTCTCGTGGTCGGTCGGAGTAGGGGAATCCGGCATCGACGCCGATGTGGGCGTCGTCGGTGGCGCGGGCGGGAGGGTAACGCGGAGACTCTTCGCGGTGTCGACAGTGAGACGCCACTTCTCGACGTGCGATGTCTGCGCTGGAGGGGTGCGGGACGGACGCCTCGGAGCGTCTCCGCGAGCACTCCGAACTCGCGTGTCGGCACTGCTCTCGAGTACCTTCGCAGGAGCGGGCGGTTCCACATACATTGGCTCGTTGAAGAGGAATGGGTTGTAGGGCTGGTAGAGCGACTGGGCTACGACGGCGTAGTTGGAGAAGGGGCTGAATGAGGCGGTCGAGGAGGGCACCGTGGAGACGTGCAGGTAGGAGCAGTCCTCCCCGTAGCGACAACGCCCGAGCGGGAAGTTGCGGCAGAGTTTGGCTGCAGTTTGTATGAGCAAACGCGTACGGCGTAGAGTTAAGAGGGACGCACTGCGATATTTTGGGTTTCTCTGGGTCTGCCTCTCGCCGTTGGCCATTTGGTCGAAAGGAGCGCGTTCTCCGTTCATGGTGGTAGCTGGGAAGAGGAAGGAGGAAGGATGATCAGCCCTTCGCACGTACTTATGGTCAGAAGGAAATTGTGGGCGCAATCTCACCTGCAGGCAGGAATCCGATGATTTATTGTGTTGCGTCCGCTCACCTGAGATCAAAAAGACGCCCAAGGTGCCACTGCAGTAAGAACGTCTGCGGCACTCAGATCCAGCAGCAAGAGCAGCAACACCGATGGCAGCAGCAGCCTCGACTGTTTTCTAGGAGAAGTGCGTCAAGCAGGAGCGGCCTCGCCAAGCCGTGCTCTGGACGCACGGCTTATATGCAGCTTGCGCGAGCAAGAACATAGGTACAGGACCCGCGGGTCTTGTGTGAGCGGCACTGAACCAAGAAGGCGAACAATGTCTGCATCTGCTTAGTAATCGTAGAGTCTGTTCAGATTCGAGCGCAGCCTTTTGTCCCAGTACGCGTCGCCCGGAAAGATGGGCGGAGAAGAGGCGATCGAAGATGGACATAACAATAAGACCTTGCGGGCGTGCGGCACCACGGCGTTTCGCGCTGAACGGGCGAGAACACGTTTCAGAAGACAATTGCGGGTGTTCTGATGTGAATCCGGATTTCTAGCGTGCGATGGCACTCGATGCAGACGAGGACGAGTTGTTGTAAGACGCCTGCGAATCCTCCTAGATGACTTACACAGCGGGCCACGAGATATCGCGTTTTGGACCGGGCCAGATTTGGGGCCCCGGAGGCGGATCTGGTCCGCGCCGTGTGTAAGGCATACGCCCCGAGGGATTCGATTTGGTCAGGGAACTTTGTAAGGCTCTTCAAGGATCATGAAATTCGCTCGACGCGACCCACAATCTTGTCCCGAACGAACGGGTGGTCGGGGCGTGTGTAAGGCCTCGCGCGTCCGGAAAGCCCATTTTGGTCCACCCGGTGTAAGGCATAGAGCTCCCGGAAGCCCCATTTTGGTCCGGACACCGTGTAAGGAATCCGGGAGGATTATCAGGGGTCCTGTTGTTGTCTGGAGGAGTGGCAGGAAGAGAGACGGTTGACTCGGCGCACAAGCACGCGGTAACTTAAACGGGCAAAACGGTTCCTTGCGACGCCACGAGGCGCCTGCCTTTCCGTGTGATTTCGCTCGCCGGTGCCGACCTGCACAATATTTACCCTGGACGTGCCTCTCTACTTTAACATCGAACTACCACGTCTTCAGGGCACCAAGCCGCCTTTGAGCGCAGAAAACACAGCTCATTTACTACCACCATCTGGAGGACCGATTTTTCTAGCCGTTGCCCATGAACACATCACCCGATACACCGCGCTTCCACCATCGCGTGCCACGGCGCGCGCAGAGACAAAAGGTGCATCCCAAAGCTCAGAGAGATTCCTGGCAACTACGCATATGACCCGCTCAGATGGTTTAGCGTTCGCTCTGCGTGCATGCATGCTAGCGTATTACTCCATTATTGTGTAAGTCCATACATAGCCGACACTCAAAAGAAGCTAGAGTGGAGTGCAGTGTACGCTCAAAGTACCGGTCCGATGTTCCTGCAGTCAACCATGCTGAGTACCTCGTTTTCCCCCGCATCACCCGGCGCTAGTGACATACGGTCCTCGCTCATCTTCCCCAACCTGCACAGTGGCCTGATATCTGCAAAGTAGCCGTCTTCTTTACTGAGGATCGCTGGATCGTTCAATCGCTGACTTGATGCACAGTCTAGTGACCATTCGAAGTGCAGGTCCAAACATGGCTTTGCGCGCCACCATCCAACCTGTTAAGTTGGATTCCAACTCCCTCTACATCTATACTCTTCCTCGCCTCTCAAACACATTCCATTGGGCACTCGTACATATCGACGAGAAAGGTGTTGCCACCCGCCACCACTGGGCCGCCACCACACTAGATCCACAGGGCCCAGAGGCATATGTCGAGCAAGCGTTGCCACACGGGCCACTATCCAAAGTCGAAAAGGACCACATCCTCGCGTACTTCAAGATCTCGGAGTATAGCCCCATAGACGTCACAGCGCTCCGGCGTACCTGTGCTTCTATCTTCCCCAAAAGCTATTCCACCGCACAAGCGAACCGGCGCGCGGACATCACCTGCCGCGCATGGATCACGCACATCTTGGGACAGCTCATCAGCCCCGAGCGTGCACAGGAGATCGAGGAGCTCGTGAAGAAGCACAGCACGACGTGCTCCAACACGTTCGCCACAGACTTCCTGTTCCAGAGACCATACGAAATGCAGGTGTACACGTTGTAACCAGGTGTGGTCTTTCGTTGTGGCGACCGATCTTTGAGTGCTGCACTGAACCGCACTCTTCTACGCAGAATCGACGTGCTCCAACTCATCATCTCGCGTATGCACCACGTATGCATCACCCCACAATTGATCGGAGATGATTGTGTACTCTCGCCACCGTCGAACTTCATCACCGCTGAACCTTTCCGTGCTCCTCCCGGACTGTGTTTTCCCCTTCCCAAAACTATCCCTACAATATCCGCCTCGCCTCCGTTCTTCCAAATCCGTCGCTCCATCTCACATATGTACCAGGTATCACCATACGCATACACAATTTACATGCTACTTCTACTCTTCCAAACTTCACGCACCGATCGCGCTCAAGAACGCGTCCGTCTCCTGACCCTCGTGCATCTTGACTATCTGCGCCGCATATGCGGCGCGTCCCGCGCCCCGCTTCTTCTGATACAAGTACCACTGGCCGTACTGCAGCGCGAGCCGACGCTCCGTAAGCGACGCGCCGCTGCCCACCCAGACGTACACGGCTGGCGACGCGTGGTTCGCGGTATCGTCAAGTACGAACGCGTCGGATGAGGAGAGTGTGGAGAACGCTGGGGGCGCGACGCGCTCGAAGGTGACCTGTCCGCTTGCGTCGGACAGCTGTAGCAGTGCCTTTTCGGAAGCAGCGGGTCCCTCTTGCGCATCCGGGACGCGTGTCAGGCCCAGCGCGGTCAGGAGTACGCCTGCGCCTTCCCCGTGTTCGTCTGCAGGCACCAGTTGGTACGTTAAACAATAAGCAGGGTTGAAGAGAACACGCACCCCAAACTGTCGTGTTTGACGATCCGCCGCGCTCACTCGCGAGGGATTGCACGAATTCCGCGGCCTTAAACCGCACCTTCCCAGGGCTCTTGCTCGTGTTGAACTGCCAGACCTGGTTGCCCATATCGAGCACATACACGTCGCCCTGGTAGACACTTGAACCCGAGTCGGGCACCTCGCGGACCTGCAGGTGCGCCACCGCTCGTCCGGTGATTTGAGTCGCGCTGATGCGATAGAGCCTGCGCGTGTCGTCTACAGGTGGGGCGGAGACATGGTGGAATCCAGAAGCGACTCCTCCGTGTAGGGAAATGAAGCGCGGGAAGTAGGAGAGGAAGCGCGCGGACTCGTACTCCTGGATCTCGCGGTATTGGACCGGCTTGCCACCAAGATCTACATGTGTTGTCAGTATAAGGAAAATATTTAGTGACGGGAAAGTCTTACGGTCGTCCAGCTCGACCGTCTTGTAAGCGGCCGTCCCGGCCTCGTCCTGGGTGGTTTCCGCACCCAGCCAGAAATGCAGGTCGTAGAACAGCTCTTCCCTGTTCTCTTCCTTCTTGTAGGTCTGTTGGAGTGTATATATGAGTTCCATTTATGAAAGTGTCATGTAATGAAAATACACTTACGTGGAGAACTATGTACGAGTCCCCGTTGTAGAAGTAGCCGTAATGGGACTTGGGCCATTCTTTCACGCTGAACTGTTCGATGCGCCAAATCTGTACACCAGGCTGCTGCCCTGCTACTTCCCAAGCCGTTTCCTTGTCACCTGCATGCTCTCTGACCTGCTTCTCGAGCTGTCCAAAGGATAAGTACGTTTCGATCGAGGGTGGTGAACATTAATGCGACGAGACTCGCAACCGTCAAGGCACTGGATATTAGTAAGTCTAAATACTCACGTCCGATCCAAGCAGCGCTATGTTTGAGTCCTCAATGTTATACTTTGTGGGCCTGGTGAGAAAAGGTCCTCCATGACCAGATGCAGTGGTATCCATGGTCGAAGAGTTGTCTCAAGAGGGTTAAGAGAGTTAGAGACACGATGGCTGCCATGGAGAGCAGATAAGATTAGATTGAAGGGTACCTCCCCGTTATCTAATCTATGGCGGCTTCAGCATGCGAGTTGACGATCCCCGCACTTTGGCACGGCCGATATCAGCTCACTCAGCAATGCACCCGCCGTGCTATACTTGTCCTCGTTGTCTCTCACATCGTCAAAAGCCATAACGCGCCCCCTGGCGTCGCTATCGTCCTCTTTCACTCTTTTCTAAGTCTTTGAGCGCACCTACAGGACATACCACAGGATGCCGTTCGGGACGGTCACGCTGAACGATGGCAATAAGGTGCCAGTTCTGGTTCGTCTGGAGGGGATGCAGACACTGACGTATGTCTCTCATTATAGATGCCATTCATAGCGTTCGGGACAGGGTCGAAGTGGAAGGGACAGGTATGTAACGACTGACGCTAGATATCTAGATTACCGCGTCTCGCGAGCTCAACCTGAACTTTGTCAGGACGTCACGGACTACGTGATACAGGCCATTGAGACCGGGTTCTCGCACCTCGATACCGCCCAATGTACGCGTCAACAGTCCATTCACCTACTTCACGACGCTGAGATGGATGAATGCAGGGTACGGAACGGAGGACAGTGTCGGGCGAGCAATCCACGATAGTGCCCTCGACCGTTCGGAGCTTTACATCACGACCAAATGGTCTGGCCTCAGTACAATCCCCGAGGCCATTGACAACAGCCTCAGCAAGGTAATGAGCCGGAAAACATAGTCATTAGCATGCATTAACATATCTCGGTAAACACATAGCTGGGGCTGAAGCAAGTTGACCTCTACCTGATTCACAACCCAGCGATGATCAACGACCTGGAAGAAGACTGGCGTTCGTTTGAGAAGATCAAGGAAGCGGGATTATCCAAGTTCGTAGCGTCCGCCCTCTTACGTATCATCCACTGAACCCCGCCAAAAGGAGCATTGGCGTTAGCAACTTCGGCCTCCCGCTGCTGGAGAAGCTGATCAAGATTGCGAAGGTCAAACCCGCTGTCAACCAGGTCAGCTCGATTTGTGGGACCGTCGTTTCTTCCGCTAACTTCTCGCCTGTAGATTCTCTTCCACCCGTACAACTACGCAGAGAACAAGGCCCTGCTGGAATTCAGTGCGAAGCACGGGATCATCACCGAAGCATACAGCAGCCTTCAGTGAGTGGCGCTGCTCGTACTACTGTATCTATTGGACAGTTGTTTACGTTAAAAACGCAGGCCAATCACGAAGTATCCAGGAGGGCCTGTCGATAAGCCCGTCGCGGCGGCAGCCAAACGCTTGAACGCCAGTGATGTCCAAGTTCTCCTGGCATGGGTTAAGAGCAAGGGCGTGGCTATCGTAACGTGAGTTTTACCTGTTGCCCGAATACGCGAACCACCCTCATTCGCATTCCATGTCTAGAACAAGCTCTACCAAGGAACACTTGGAGGAGTACCTGGCTGTGGCTGATCTACGTGAGTGCTGACAGTGCCTACAACGAAGCAATACTGATACCCCTGCGCTGCAGCAGAATTGACCGACGAGGAAATTGCCGCCATAGACGAGGCTGGGGCCAAGGGGCCTCCGAGCACCATTTCAATCACTTTCTCGAGAATGAAGAAGAACTGGTACCGCAACAGGTACATTCTTGGGCCGGGGCTCCTGTTCCAGTTCTGTGCTTTCTTGTTCGTTATGGCGAGGTCGTGAAGGGCGCTCTAGTATGTATTAGCTAGATTTGTCGCCTGTAGCTTTCTCCCTGGGTATTGCAATGGGATGTCTCATTTGGAAGGCCTCTAGGGGCTTGTGCAATTGATTCCGCTCATGCAGACGTCATGGGGGCGTCAGGAACGGAGAGCAAGCCTCGGGGAGTTTAGCGCGTCTATCAGGGGCGGCCGCTGAGCGGAAGACGGAGCGGCAGAGAAGCAGGCCGAGCGTGTTGTCCTCCTCCAGCTCGCAACACACCCCATCGGCATATATACCCTCGTCTCCTCTAGCATGCCCTCCACTCTGGTGCTCTAAACGTCGAGCAGCGCGACTTAACTCTCTGGTGGACATCATTCCCTCTACGAATTCGCGTCAGAACTTCGATCAGCCGAGACGCTAGCGCATAATGGATCACGACAACCACCCTGCGCTCCCGCCCGACAGCCCTCTGAACTCATTCCTGAACGATGGCATGCTGCTCCTATCCATGCCCGGTCCACGGCTTCCGTCAAGAGACCCGACATACTACATCAACGATGGCAACAGCGTCCTGCTCGTGGAGAACACGCTCTTCAAGGTGCACCGCTCGGTCCTGACGAAGGACAAGTCCGCGTTCGAGACGATGTTCCAGCTGTCGGGCGAGACGGACTCGGCGCGCTCGGACTCGAGCATGACGACCACGCAGGAGGGCGAGAGCGACGACAACCCCATCAGGCTGCAGGGCGATACCGCGGACGAATTCCGTGCACTCCTCTGGGCGTTATATGCGCTGTGAGTGCCTTCCTCGACGTCTGTGGGTGTGTTCCCCGACTAATTGTATTTCATTCCCCAACGATGAAGACCGCACGAGCTCACCACCGCAATGTCCGGGGAGGCCGACTGCACGCTCCTCGTCTCCCTCGTCCGAATTACCCACAAGTACCAGTTTCGCAACATCATGACATGGGCCCTCTCCGCGCTGCATCACTTCTACGCGCGCCCTGGCGCGTTCGACAACATGCTTACCAGGGCCGCGTCCCCCACGCCCGGCGTGCCCACTCTTCCGCATACGGGGCCCCTAACTCCCGGTCCCTCGCCCGCGCACCCACCGACGCTCGTGCAACTCACGGAGCTCGCCGCGCTTTGCGAGCGAGCGGACCTACTGGAATGCACAGTCGCACAATGGAAGCGGCTGATCGGCGAGCGACACGACCTGGCGCTCGCGCTCACGATCGGGGAACGCTTCAACCTGCGGCCCGTCGTCGGGCTCGCGTACCACGCGCTTATGCTGCGGGGGAAGGCGCACTGGGACGCGGAGCGCGCCCTGACGCGCGCGCAACGCGTGCGCCTGCTCGCAGGCTTCTACGCGCTCACGAAGCTGTGGGAGGTGCTCCCCGCGCAGCCACCACCGCTCACGCACGGGGCGCGGTGCGCGAGCCAGCAACGATGCACGAAGGCGTTCGGGACACTTTGGCGCACGGTGCTGGAGACGGGGACGCAGGTGATGCCGGGGATTGCCCGGGAGGATCTGCTGGGGAAGATCATGCTCGCGGAGAGCGTGATGAAGGCAATGGTGGGCGGCGAGATCCCGAGCCAGGGCTTCTTGGACGGCATGCCGCATTGCAGGGAGAGCGCGTTGGTGGCGACGACGATGCGCATGCGGGAAATCAAAGAGTCGCTCGCGGACTACTTCTCAGACGACTTCTAGATTTCTGAGGTTGTATGGCGTTGGGCTTTTTCTCTTACTTGGAGGCATAGGGGGATGTGACACACACACGGAGGTTGCTTATGTATTCGCGCCGAAATAGACACCTGTACTTACTCGCGGACTGTGTACTCATACCCTTGGAGGATTGTATCATGCATATACCCATGCAGGCTACGTGCCTGATATGTTCTTATTCCGTTCGGCGGTGCTACGTGTGTGCTAAACATACATTGATCTGTCCACGTTCATTCCACTACAGTACACCATCGCTACGTAAGTCATGCAAGAAGTCCATAGTTGTCCGTCCAGAAGGTCGATAGCCGTATAGAAGTCATGCCGTACCAATCGCTCAGTTCGTCTCAGCGTCGGTGAACGGCGTCGTCGCGAGGCCGACCTGGTTGTTGCCGGTGTCGTACACGCTGTAGAAGCGCTGCAAGAACGCAAAGCCGTCTACAATATCATCATCAGCACACAACGCCACAAGTACGACAAGAAACGCGCGCTACGCACTGATGAAGTCAAGGCCCTGCCCGCTCTGGTTGCCCAGGTCGGACGCAACGAGGTAGATCTTGCCCTCCTCGCCGCCGATCGTCGAGTTGAGCGCGCGCGGCCAGATCTGCGCGTTCGGCGTGAGCTCGAACGACGTGCCGCCGATGTTGAAGAACAGCGACTGCAGGTTCTCGAACTGCGCCTCGGTGATCGTGAGCAGTCCGGTCGTGTTGTCGAGCTTTGCGCCCGTCGCCTTCTGGTACGCCTGGAACGCGTCCGTCGCGATCAGGAGGAGCGTCGTGCCGGTGTCGACGATGCCCGCGGAGCCGGAGAGCAGCGTCGTGTCTTGGCCGTAGGTGAGCTCCTGGTCGATGCCCCAGTACTGGGACGCGGGCGAGGTCGAGGTGATCGGGACGAAGCTCACGTCGCCGGTGGTCCTGGGATGCTGTCAGCACATGCGAATGGCTGTGGGTCACGAAACACGTACTTGCTAGTGTCGACACCACCGAAGGTGAGCTCGCCGTTGAGAGCACCGCTGTCGGTGGTCGGCTGGTAGAAGATGCCGATCGAGTCGTTGGCGATAGTGCCCTGCGCGAAGAGGTTGTCCGTCACGGTCGGCACGGGCTGGTTGCTCCCGACGGTGCCCTGGGTGAGGTCAACAGGCCCGATGCCGAGGATGCCGTCAACATCGCTGAAGCCCTGGGCAGTTGAGGCGACGCCGATGCTCTGGTTCTGGATCACGAGGTCGGACGAGATCGTGACAGTGTCGGTGACTACATATGCGGTCGCCATGAGCAACGTTGTTCATGGAGTAATCATAGGTGGAGTAACTCACACTCGGTACCGGAGAAAGAGCCGGAGCCGTAGCTGACGTTCTGCAGAAGAGTGGGGCTCAGCAGTACTCCACAGTAGGCTAGAAGGCCGGACTCACGACGCTCTGCCCGGTGCTCTTGCTGGTGCTGGTCTTCTTGTAAGCCTGACCGGCACCAACCCAGGTGTTGGAGCTCCCTGTGAATATAGCGTCAATATCACCTGAACGTGGGCGAGCGCACCATAGACCTACCAGTGTCAATGAGAAGTGTGTATTGTGTGGGCGGGGAGCCGACACCGACAGACGCGGTGTAGGTAACACCAGCGTCGGTGACATCGACACCTCCGCCAGGCGTCGAGGTGGGCGGGGCGGCCCCGGTGCTGCCAGTACCACTGCTACCAGTGCCAGTGCCAGTGCCGATGTCTCCGCCGCCATGGCCGTGGCCGTGGCGACCGTGGTGACGGCGCCGACGCAGCTCATGGAAGGCAGCAGGACCGTGCGGGTTGATGCCCTGCAGGATCTTCTGCGCTCTGGCCCTGTCGCGGGCGATGATGTCCTTCGCATGACGGCCGGCGACGCGGGTCACGAAGGGGACTGAGCGGGATGCGACGAAGTTGGACATGGTGTGAATGGAAGTCGATGTGGTGGTTGGGTTGGCGGTTTCTCAGTGAGAGCTCGCAGGTTTATATACGGAGGCACGGCTAGGTACCCCGCCCGAAGCAGACTAGATGTGGGGAGAGGGGCCTTGGAGGCGGTGGGTCCAGGGGGATGTCATAATCGCATGCGCAAATCCAGAAATAACGCGAGCATCACCGCATAATGGAAGCCGTCAGATAGTACAGATACAGCTGCTTCTCCGGAGGTTCGCGAGGCGCGACCAGGCATGCGTCCTTGATAGGCTACAGTCGGACATGTCCTCTCGTTACGCCATCGCAGGAGCCAGGCAACGGTGCAGCACAGCAGTACGCAGCAAATCCCGAGGGTCGCCCGAGAGAGGTGCCTAGCAGCCCCAAGGCCAATAGCCTTGTGGCGGAACGGGAAGCTGCGCACACTAGAAGAGGTGGGGGCGGGGACAATTGACGCAGTCGGGTCCGAGCACCTGCCCCTCAGCTTCAGGTCATTCCAGGGCAGAAGCAGAGTCAGGCAGAGCCTCGCAGATGAGAAGGCGGAGTAGCGGGCAGTGCGGGGCGCAAAAGATAAGCCACTCCTGGCGAGAACAGTTCAGCAACTCCGCGCACGGGCTCCGTCATATGTCCCCCATGTTGCGAACCTGCCTCTTTCAGCGTTGCACCTGAGAGCTATAAATAACGCACCCGCATGTTCTCGTCTTCTCCGCAGCCTCGTTGTGTGATAGGATCCACGGTGGGACGAGAAGTCAAGGTACGACCGTGCGTCGGCGTACAATAAGCAGCTTACCTCCCAACTATGACCAGCTGCTCTTCCACGCCGCCGGCCCGGCTGAGAGCACGACTACCGTCTCCCAATGTCCCACTCCATCCTGCCCCGTTGCATCAAAATAAGCTTGAGGGACAGACGGGATCCTAAGCCAACAGTCTCGCCAGCTGCGCTGACTGCATAGTGTCCGCAGAAGGCCCACAATAGATCACTTCGAACGCAAAGCTCTGCGGCATCCATGATCGTACGTCGTCGTGCACGCGATGCTTTGCGAGATACCCACAGAATGTCTTCGGAACTTCGTGGCTGTATCAGACAGCGGACGCCGCCTGCATGCAATGGCATACGCGTCCTGTCAGGATGCCACGGATTTGTCTGCACTAGCCAAGGACTCACAAAGTGACGCGTTCCATTGCAAATGATCATGTTATCGAACGCCCGAAGTGCGAGTATGCACTCCCTCGTGACGATGCTACAGATGACGTGATGAACTAGAGTCGACATTGAGGACGTGCCTGGGAGAAGCAACAAGAAGGCGGACCTATTTTTCCCCAGACTGCGGCTGTTCAGAGTGAACCTGTCGGAGGTCCGTCCGGAATATGTAGGTCGGTATGGGACCCTTCGGCTACGGCAGCTAGAAACAGCCATGGTTCTTTTCCACACGGCAGGCCTGGAGCGATGGGGAGCGAAATAATCGTCACGACGGCGTCATCGCAAGACGTGAGGGATCGTATCATGGCGAAAGAGGGTAACATATACAACAACCTCTGGACGGAACTCTCAGTCAGCATTAGTGTTGTTAAGGCAGCGTGCTAGGACTCACATATACAGACATCCGTCCATCCGCAAACAGTATAATGGAATGGAAGCAAGGTCCCGTTCGATCCTAGTCCGCCTTCGTATCACAGATAGTCGAACCATAGCGTCGATAGAACGGCAGATCACCAGAACTTCACCTTTTGGAGGCGCTTCACGACAGACTTCAACGTAACGCGTTTGCGTTTCCCGCTCGCTCGCCGGTCGAGAACGGGCTGTGAAGCAGGAGAAGCAGGAGATACGGCCGCAGCTACAGCGGCTCGATGCACAGGGACTTCTTGGCGGGCGGCCCAGCAGCCTTGCAGACCTTTCACCCGGTCAAGCCAATCTGCCTCCGCTTCCTCGAAGCCGTACACCGTCCTCACGCGACTGGGGAGATATAGGAACCGTCCGTCCGAGGCGCGCGCCAACGCTTCAAAGACGCGCATCACGTCACGGTCCCCGCGCGCGTCCATGCAGCAGGAGCAGTAGAAGTCGGTATTCGAGACGGGCGGCGGTTGGAACACGAAGAGCTCGAGGGTTTCGGCAGGCGGGAGAACTCGGTCCCACGTAACTCGAGAGGCTTTCAGAAGAGGGCCTGAGGGGTTGAAGGTGGGCTGGGTCGCAAGGGGGGTAGCGCTATGGGGAATGCGGGTGACTAGGGGCCTCGTGGGGTATGGTCGGACTGTGGAGGATCCTGATGCGACGTTCGGGGAGGAAGGGTCCCCTAGTTCGATGTATGGGTCCATGATACCACTTTGTGCGCATTCAGCATGGACGATCTCCGCTATGCGCTTGCTGCCCCAAAGGTCAAGTACGGTGAAGCGAAGGTGTGTAAGGGAGGGTGCCAACTGATGGATGAGCGCATGCTCGGGTCGGGTACTTCGTCCTAGGCCATTAAATGCACAAACCAAATGTAACCGGCGAAGACTCGGTATCGAGGGCCACACCGCGTCGTTAGCCTCTTCGTCAGCAACAGCGGCGGTCGCGACAACGTAGTAACGTTTCGCCTGCTCCAGCTGCTCCGGCGTGCATCGCCCTCGGATTGTCAGTTCGACCAGGCAGGGGTAATGAAGAGAAAGCGCCTGGGAAAGGATTATTGCGCTGTCCATGGGAGCCTCGAGGCTGATCATCGCAAGCGTCCTCAACGTCGGAGCGGCATGGCGTAAAATGCCGCGTACAACGCCTGGCCACGTATGCGGCATATGAAAGTGGTTGTAGTCGACCGCGTGCTGGGCAGGTCGGGAGCTAACGAACAGGTGATGAACCGGTCGATGAGGGAGGCCTAGGGCGGGTTGCTGCGAGTAGAGAAGTTTTGCAAAACCTGCTGCCTGTCCATAGCCGTAAATCGCAAGAGAGTTCCACTGGTACGGGTAGGATAGTGCTCGAACGGCTCGTGAGACGAGGGCAAGGGCCCGGCCGGCGGATCCGCCGTCGGTACACGCAAACTCGAAGATGAGCATCTGTATCTCGAGAGGGTAGCCGTCCATCACTGTAAAGTTTATTTTGAGTCAGCGAAGAACATATTAGACAGGCGCGTTGAGTAAACTACGCCTACCATTGAGAACTTGAGCAGTGACCCTGTATCAGTTTGAGGGAGAAATTGGTGGTGCGGTATCTGTCAACCAAGTCTTGCCTAAGGGCACCACTCGTATTCGCGGATGAGACGACGGGCTAGCTCCCAACTATTCAGGACGCTTTTGCTACCAGAAACAGCGGCGGATGCTGGTGGTTGGGGATGAAGATGGAGAATGCGCCAAAAGCCTCCGACGGGGACGCGACGCGGCTCATTTGCCGGCGCCTGCGTCCGGCGATCATCATTAATCACGGCGAAAGCCGATCCGGCGTCTCAAAGTCGCAGCACGGCTGTTCTTACGGCGAACTGCTCTTGAATTTCTACCATCTCGGCTTTCCCTCCTGACTCTCTGCCTCTCCTCTCACGAACCACGGTGACTACAACGACGAATATCCACACAATACTCTCTTTGCTTTCAAATAATTCCACTTTTTCTTGCGCCTTGAGGGCACATCAGCTGCCTTTGAATGCCTCGAGACGACACTCAGACCCCCTTGCTGGACCTACGGCTCCCATTGCCTCCGCGGCCTCGTAAACCTGACGACGACGATATACTTGACGGCGTAATGATCCACAGACGATGGTATCACTTTATACCGCTTTTCAGTGCGTACGAGTTCCTGCTCGCGCTCCCGAAGCCCGACATTGACCAATTTATGCGGCGCGCCATGCAGTCGCGTTCGTCATGATGCTAGCTCCCCATCCATCCCTCCTGGCAATATTTGTCAACTACTACTATCGCGTGCATGATGCACCGCTACGCGGATTCGTGCATATGCTTGTCATCTACACCCTCACGTTTCTCGCTATATCCTCCTTAATCGTCGTACTCGCGCGCGACCCTGGCCCGGTCACTGGCGACAAGAATCAAGGAGAGGAAGGGGGTGACGGGGCTGACGGAGAGGGCGAGAGCTTTTTGGATGCGCTACTAGCACCGCCAGAAGGGGAGGCAGCTCACGGGCCCGGACGATGGTGCAAGAGGTGCTCTGCCCCCAAGCCCGAGCGCGCCCACCATTGCGGAACATGCGGGAGATGTGTGCTGAGAATGGGTGCGTGGTACTCTAACCAGTGTTAGCGCAATATATACTGAACACACGCGTTGCATGGGTTGATGTATGCGCATATATAGACCATCATTGCATGTGGCTGGGACATAAATGCATTGTGAGTGGCCGATGCCCGTGAACCTAAAGACCTGCTGGCTCCAGCACTGAATGCCCACGTCGAATAAGCTTGTCTGATGAACATTTTGGTAGGGTCACCGGACACACGCGTCGTTCGTGCATTTCCTCTTCTGCGTTACCGCGCTCGCGGCATATGTCGCAATCCTTTGCTCGACTGTGGTCTATTGGGCGTTTACCCACCCCCTCAACATCGTGAGCCTCGCAGTCCTTCCCTCTCTTGCTGTGCCCTCCCTGACCTCTCCTTGCTCTGCGCTCTCCACCGAAACGTAGGACGAAACCACGCCAATCCATGCCATATCTTTGGCGCTTTATGGCATGGTCATTGCAATGGTCATCGGCTCGTTCTTTGGCTGGCACCTGTACCTCATCACGTCTGTGTCCCGTGTTACACCCGCTGCTACCCTGAGGAGGCTGATCCCCAACCCAGGTCCAACCAGACCACGATAGAGTCGCTCTCTCCGTTCTGGCTACTGCGACACATCCCTCCTCTGCCGGACAATGCCGACTCGCGTAGGCTGTCGAACCCTCCGCTAGAGCACGAGCTGTCGTTCGAACAGCGGATGCTAGTACGCGACGCCCACCGCCATATACGCCTGTACGACATCGGCGCGCGGAACAACTGGGCCCAGGTGTTCGGATGGTCGCGTCCGTGGGGTTGGCTTTATCGCTTAGCCATTGGGGGTGGCTGGTACGTGCCTCGCGTTCACTATCTCTGGGCAGCAGCTTACATTCACCGCTTCGCCGTCCCATCACCGGCGTTCGATATTCCCTTTGTCAGCACGGGCGATGGGCGCAGCTTTCCCCGCAACCCTCGGTCGGACGAGATGCTATCTCGCCTAGCCGCTGGGCTTGTGAGCGCGGACAAGGATCGCTGATCTTCGCCGTCCCCGAGGCTAAGCCTGTTGTATACCCCCACATGCTAATGGATGAGATACCCCCTTTTAGCCTCAGCGCTGTTGTAAGGAGCTGTGCTGTGTCTGCATCTGTCGTCGATAACGTGGTGAGTTGCTGCTTTTGGACCTTGCATGATGGCGTGGGCACGAAGCTTAGAAGGGTGGGGTGGTGTCTCGGTTGAGTTAGACGGTGTGCTATGGTGGGCGGCAGGGCGGCTGAGTCAGTCGGTCGGCGGTATGCCGTCTGGACCGTCCCGCAGGCCTTGCTGGTTGCAAAGCATCCCAGAGTAGGACGTCACAGGGGCCCAAGAGCTTTCTCTGGTGTGTAAGCCCTCTTATGACCTGAGATGCGAACTGAGAAGGAAGCCTCTTCGTGTCCTAGGATCAGAACACGAGTGATCTATTCTCGCAGGGGGCCACACGTTCGTCTGGGAAACGTGTAGTCTCCAATGGGTGGGTACCGCCCGAGGAGGAGGCCGCCCTCAGCGTCTGGAACTTGCGGGTGAATCGATGTCCAAGACCATGCCCATCACAAGAGTCATTGGTGACCACTCGGGGCGATCCCTTTGCAGTCCTCGCCCCTGTCGTCATCGCAGAGTCTTCCAGACGGCAATGCATCGCAGGTTCTCTTCTCCGCAGGTCGAGCGGCCCAGGAGAGGCTCCATGGGTACTATGCCTTGTCGTTCGCGAAGCCGGGCGGGCCTTCGACGAGCGGCACTTCCCCAAACGAACTGCGGGAGATGGTCAAGTGATGATCGCTAGGTTAGACGGTGGAGGAGGTCCGGACACGTTCAGAGCGTTTACGGTAAGCAGGAACGAAGGCGTCGCTTACCTAAGCTGACGCTGCCCATCGTCCCTCCGCGCCCGGCCTCCACCTCCTCCGCCACTGCGGGTGCGCCGCCGTATATATACAACCCGCTGCAGGATGCGCTTCCTTACACCGACCACATCGTTCCCGCTCTGCTCGCTCGCACTCCCAAATGGCAAACAACGCTGCTCCTGCCGTCAACATCCTTGACCTCCGCGCCCGCACTGAGGCCCCTCTTTCCGAAGCCGACCACTCTGTTCGCGACGACATCGTCGCCGGCCTCTCGCTACCTGTCGGACAGAAATGGCTCCCCACCATGCTGCTCTACGATGAACACGGTCTCCGTCTCTACGACGAGATCACCACCGATGCGCCAGAATACTACCTCTTCTCGGCAGAGGAAGAGATCCTCAAGAACAAGGCGGACGACATCGTCAAGGTCATGCACGCTGCATCGGTCTCAGATGGTGGTCCCCTGGAGGAGGTCGTGGTCGAACTGGGTGCCGGGTGAGTTTGGCTTTTACCTCAACGCGTCGCGCGTAGCGGACGCGTTCGTGAAGCGCAAACCACTATACCCTTAAGAGGATCTGCGCTCGGAGTCTATCTGAAGCCCCGATCTCGCGTAGCCTTCCTCTGCGACTTGTCCTTCCTCTCCCACACCCTGGGCAACAACCCAGACGTAATGATTTGTCACGTGTGGCGACGATAGGTCTTATCGCTTCCGTACCGCCCCCCTTTGACTAGCCACCTCCGTATAAAATGGGGCAGCCATCTGACCAGTGTTCGCAGCGCACTACGGAAGACATCTCACATCCTGAGGGCTCTCTCGCGACACGTACCAAACGCCTCCGCCGTGCCCCCTATCAGCTACTACGCCCTCGACCTCGAGAAGCGCGAACTGGAACGTACACTTGACGAACTCAGCAAGTCAGATATCGGTACCGAAATGAAGGGCAAAGTATCTGCAAGCGGCCTCTGCGGCACTTACGACGACGGACTCAAGTTCATCGCCGAAGGCGGGCTCGAGGGTCGAAATGCGCTCACGAATCTCGACACTGCGGTGATTGAGAAATACTCCGTCGCGCGCGTTAGGCGCGATGCATCCCCGGATTCGGGCTCTTCCAGGAGCCGCTCTGAGGGCACAGAGGCGACGCCGCCGTCGACGCCTGGGGCGCACCACCCTCTGCATATCATGTTCCTTGGCTCCTCGCTCGGCAATTTCACACGCGGAGAGGACACGGCGTTCTTGAAGTCTCTACCGCTGCGCCCGGGCTCGGGCGATACGCTCCTGATCGGTCTGGACCACGACAATGACCCAAAGAAGATCCAGCTCGCGTACGACGACCCCAAGGGCGTCACGCGCAGCTTTATTATGAACGGATTGCTCTGTGCGGGCAGGGCTCTGGGCGATGAACACTTGTTCGAGCAGGACAAGTGGGAATACGTCGGCCGGTACAACGAGGAACTGCGTCAGTGTGCCCGTGACTGTTCGTGGCTGGCCGGTGCTAACTTTGCCGCGCTGTAGGTCGTCACGAGGCATACTACAGATCAACATGCGACCACACCGTAGTTGACCCCACTACGCAGGCAAACTTCCCGTTCGTGAAGGATGAGCTTGTCCGCGTCGAAGTCTCCCGCAAGGTTTGCCTATGACGTCGCGCTACCTTCATACGTGCTCTTCTGACGACTATGACGAATATTATAGTTCTCTGAGCGCGACGCATACTCGCTCTTCACGGAGGCGGGTCTCCGCCCGGTCCACCGATGGACCGATAGCGCCTCGCAGTATTCGCTGTGGCTCCTCGAGCGTCCGAAGTTCTCGTTTCCGCTCCTGAAGGCGCCGGTAGAGAACTCTATCATGCGCTCTCCATTCTCCCTCCCCACTGTCGAGGAGTGGCAGCACATGTGGGCAGCATGGGACTTCATCACGCGCGAGATGATCCCTCCGTCGATGCTGTTCCAGAAGCCCATTGACCTCCGCCATATTTGCCTGTTCTACTGCGGCCATATACCTACGTTCCTGTCAATCCACCTGGCGCGATTGCTGAAGGAATCAGATACCGAACCCATCGAGTTCAAGGTACGCGCAGTTGGTTGTTATGTGCGACAACGCTCGTGCTGACTTTGACTTTGCAGTATATCTTCGAAGTAATTGCCATCTTACTCTGCACGCTCGAGATCATTTGTTCACTTATCGTTCACAGCGTGGTATAGATCCTATCGTCGACGACCCCACACAATGTCATGTATGTTTGGCCGACCTCACTTATGGTCCTCTGCTAATCATCTGCTGGTACAGCCGCACTCCGAGGTACCCCAAAAGGATGAAGACTGGCCGTCTCTGTCTAGCATCATGCAGTTCCAATCTCGTGTCCGCGAACGCGTCATGCAGCTGTACCGGGACATTGATTCAGGCAAGATTACCCTGACGCGCAAGATTGCCCGAGTGCTCTTCATGACACTCGAGCACGAAGCATTCCATGCCGAGGTGCGTCTTCAGTTCTTCAATGATACACGTTGCCTTACATTGGTGCAGACGCTCCTCTATATGCTCCTGCAGCGAGCGGGCACAGGGACTATCCCGCCCACGGGCTTCGTCGCGCCCGTTTGGGATGTGCTCGGAGAGTCGTGGAACGCCCATCCGGAGCCTGCGACTGATGCTGTCACGCTTGGGCCGGCAGAGATCACTCTTGGCCACGACGACGACGAGGCCGATGATGACTCAACGGACGTACTGGGCCATTCATTTGGCTGGGACAACGAGCATCCCGAGCGGAAGGTCCAGGTCGGCAAGTTCAAGATCGAGTGGCGCCCAGTCACGAACGGGCAGTTCTACGACTTCTACATGCGCGAGGGAAAGGACATGCCTAAGGTGCAGTTCCCGAAGAGCTGGGTCGAGATCGACGGAGGGGTCTTTGTAAGTCCATTCCTCCCATCGCCGACCGACGTCGAAGTTTACTCATAAGTGACAGGTGCGGACGTTGTACGGCCCCGTACCGCTCAAGATCGCGAGGAATTGGCCCCTTATTACGTCCTTCGACAACCTGTCGACCTATGCGAGCGTTAAGGGCGGTCGTATCCCGACCGAGCCGGAGCTCAGACTGTTCTACGACAAGTTTGCTTGCGGCTATGAGGGTGGTGCCAACATCGGGTTCAGGAACTGGCACCCCGTTCCGTAAGTTTTGCGCGTCAGTCCTTTCTGATGTCGTGACTGACGTATGCATTGTGTAGCGCTACGTCGGGAGGCCCCAAGGATGATGGTAGGGGTCACAACGGGGGCGTGTGGGAGTGGACGTCGACCGTGCTTGAAAGATACGACGGCTTTGTTCCCTCCAAGTTATATCCCGGGTACGTTTATTGCAACTCTATATTGGATTAGTAGCTGAACACTTTGTGCACAGATACTCGACGGACTTCTTCGATAACCACCATCAGGTTGTCGTAAGTGTTCTATTCCAGTTCGTTTCTTACCGTCACTTACGCTGTCTATAGATCGGTGGATCGTACACCACCATCCCTCGCCTCGCGGAGAGGCGCACGCTGCGCAACTATTACCAGCACAACTACCCGTATGCATGGGCCGGTGCTCGCATCGCATACGACTTGTAAGGAGCTCATTCTTTCCGATTGTACCATCTATCAGAGCTGTACGAGTATCACTATCACCCAATGTAACCTATACAACTTTATGCGAGTCCACACTGCGCATCATAGTGCACGCGTGATCAAATCTGACATAAGTACTATCCGTATGTCCGGGCTTGGTCAGTAGCTGCGATCGAGTGTATAAGCAAGGTACGGAACAGCGGCACATTTGTACATTCGCGTCAGCGATCAGCGTGAGGCAGCGTGAGGTTCGGGAATCGTTCTGAAGTACTAGCGGTATATTATAAGGCTACAACATGTTATTCCAACAACAAACACAAGGCTACAAAATGTCCCGCACAACCTGATCATTGTCTGGGAGGCCACCGCATGGTAGGTGTCGTGCTAGAGCCTGCGCTCGCATTCCGTATGGACGCTAGAGCGGCCGCGGTGGCGCCGCCAAATTGCGGGGTGACGGTCTCCGATCTATCCGTAAATCGTGTGCTGTTCAGGATGGTCGTGGTCGCCGTCGAGTGTCTCGGTAGCGCCGTCGAGTTTAGGTCCATGAGACTCCGCATGATCTCGCCCAGGTCGTCGCTCGACGGTGTGGGGTCATCCAGGGCGACCCCGGCGTCTTTGACTGCGGTCTGCTCAAAGAGCTCCTCCTCTTCCAGCTTCTTGACGGCGGCTCGAAGGTTGTCCATGACATGCTGAAACATGACTGACCATGTTATGTGATTAGCCTAATCACTGTACATAGAGATCTATATGTGGACGTACAGCTCTCCTCCTGAGGCGTGAGCTTTTGGCGTAGCGGGCGGGGATGGAGAAGAGGGTCCCTATTGGCCTCATCTTCCTCGGGCCGTGGCCTGTTGATTCCTGCCATCCCCTCGCACTTGCGGACGAACTCTCGCTCAGACAGCTCGGAGTCCGCGAGATCCGTCTCGTCCGGGCCATAGTCTGTCCCGATGGTGCTCGAGGGCGAGGGCGCGCGCATGATAGTGGGCACATAAGGGAGATCGGCGGGGTGCACGATGAACTGCTGGCTTGGCATTGTGGTTTGGGCAGAGCGAGGCGGACGCAGAGGCGTTGGTGCGGATGGCGGAGTGCGGGGAGGGGTTTCGGGGAGGATTATGGAACGATAAGACGCGTGGCTAATGACGCGACGCGTAAAATACAGGCATAAACAACGCGTCCGTTGAAAAACCGTCGCGTGAGCTTTGTCAGCAGCTGATACACGCCGCCCGTAATTATAAGAGGCTCGCGTCGCGTCTCGCCCTCTCTTCTCCGCGTACCACCACCTCCTCCGCTTCCCCCCTCCCCTTCTCAGCCACTCTATTCCTCCACACGATCACAGGGATGGCATCATTCGTTTTCAAGCGAGGTGAGCACTCTTTCGGCCATGTTCGGACGCGTCGAAGTTGACCTCAGCCCCTCCCTCTCGCAGACGGGTAAGTCGCGTTAATTACGCGTCGCGACGCGTCTTATTACGCGATACTCATGATCCGACTCCCCGTAGACGCAAGGAGCGTGTCCAGTTTGACAAGGTACGTCCCCCAACACGCGTTCTCCAACGCGAGGTCTCACATGTCGTAGATCACGGCAAGGATAGCCAAGCTATGCTACGGTCTTGACAAGGATCACGTCGATCCTGTCGGGTATGTAGAGCAGTCAGCGTTTCCTCTTCGTCGTGTTGACGGTATTGTAGCATTACGCAGAAGGTTATCGCGGGTGTGTACCCCGGAGTGACAACCGTGGAGCTCGATGTGAGTGTGATCCTGTTTCTGCTCTTGGCGATTTCTCAAACTGTTCGATACAGAACCTGGCAGCGGAGACTGCTGCATACCTCACGACAAAGCACCCCGACTACGCTATTCTCGCTGCCCGTATCGCTGTATCAAATCTTCACAAGGAGACCAAGAAGAGTTTCTCGGCAGTCATCAGTGACTTGTACAACTATGGTACGCCGACCTTGTGTTCTTTGTCATGTCCATTCTTAACATGTTGCATAGTAAACCCGAAGAACGGCCGGGCCGCAGGCATGATCTCTAAGGAGATTTACGAGATTGTTCAGAAGAACGCCGAAGTCCTTGATTCCGCCATCATCTATGATCGGGATTTCAGCTACAACTTGTGGGTTTCGCTCGCTGACCGTGCGTGAACTCTGTTTGACTTTGGCGTGCTGTAGCTTCGGTTTCAAAACCCTCGAGCGTTCATACCTCCTCAAGATCAATGGACGCGTGGCTGAGCGACCACAGCACCTGATCATGCGTGTGGCTGTCGGCATTCATGGTGCTGACATCGACCGCGCCATCGAGACCTACCACTTGATGTCTGAGCGGTACTTCACCCATGCTTCGCCGACTTTGTTCAACGCCGGTACCCCCAACCCCCAACTGAGCTCATGCTTCCTGGTGTCGATGAAGGATGATTCCATTGAGGGCATCTACTCGACGCTCAAGGACTGTGCGAACATCAGCAAGACCGCTGGTGGAATCGGTATCAACATTCACAACATCCGGGCCACGGGGTAAGCTCTCACCTTCTATCAAGCTCTTCGCATGCTCATCTTGCTATAGTTCTTACATTGCTGGTACCAACGGCTACTCGAACGGGATTGTCCCTATGCTCCGTGTATACGACGCGACGGCTCGTTACGTCGATCAGGGAGGTAACAAGCGGCCCGGGGCATTCGCCATCTACCTTGAGCCCTGGCACGCCGATGTGTTCGAGTTCATTGATCTCCGCAAAAACCACGGCAAGGAGGAAGTCCGTGCTCGCGATCTGTTCTATGCGCTCTGGATACCCGATCTTTTGTGAGTGACGCTTCGAATTTATATCAAATATTCGTTCTGACATGTCTCACAGCATGAAGCGCGTTGAGAGCGGTGGCAAGTGGTCGTTGTTCTGCCCGAGTGAGGCTCCGGGCCTGCACGAGGTATGGGGAGAGGAGTTCGAGAGGCTATACGAGCAATACGAGCGTGAGGGTCGCGCAAAGAAGACCATCGAAGCTCAGAAGCTCTGGTACGCAATCCTGGAGGCCCAGATCGAGACTGGCGGTCCCTTCATGCTCTACAAGGACGCTTGCAACGGTAAGCCGCTCGAGGATGAATACTGCGCATCATCTAATGTCGCTCGCAGCCAAGTCGAACCAGCAGAACCTCGGTACCATCAAGTCATCTAACCTCTGCACGGAGATCGTGGAGTACTCGTCTCCAGATGAGACTGCCGTTTGCAACTTGGCTTCCATCGCTCTCCCTTCGTTCATCGAGAACGGCAAGTACAACTTCCAGAAGTTGCACGACGTAACGAAGGTTGTCGCTTTCAACTTGAACCGCATCATCGACGTCAACCACTATCCTATCCCCGAGGCCCAGCGTTCCAACATGCGCCACCGTCCCATCGGTGTTGGTGTGCAAGGGTTGGCAGACGCTTTCATGGCGCTTCGGATGCCCTTCGACGGCGTTGAGGCGCGCAAGCTCAACCAGCAGATCTTCGAGACCATCTACCATGCAGCCGTCGAGGCCAGCTGCGAGATGGCGCAGCAATTCGGGACCTATGAGACGTACCAGGGCAGCCCCGCGTCCGAGGGCAAGCTCCAGTACGACCTCTGGGGGATCACTCCTACGGACCTCTGGGATTGGACGAGCCTTAAGGCGAAGGTTGCGCAGCACGGTCTCCGGAATTCGCTGCTTGTCGCTCCGATGCCCACCGCTTCGACGAGTCAGATCTTGGGCAACAATGAGTGCTTCGAGCCTTACACGAGGTAAGCTTTGTTGAACTTTGCGTTTCGGCGCGTCTCTAAAGAATCATTTAGCAACATCTACACGCGTCGTGTACTCGCGGGAGAGTTCCAGGTCGTATGCCCGTGGCTTCTCCGCGAGCTGGTCGAGCTTGGCCTCTGGAACGACGACATGAAGAACATGATCATCGCAAACAACGGCTCCATCCAAACCATCGACATCATCCCCGACGACGTCAAGGCCATCTACAAGACCGTTTGGGAGATCTCGCAGAAGAAGGTCCTCGACCTTGCAGCGGACCGCGGAGCGTTCATCTGCCAGTCCCAGTCGCTCAACGTCCACCTGCAGTCCCCTACAACGGGGCAGCTGACGAGCATGCACTTCTACGGCTGGAAGAAGGGTCTCAAGACTGGCATGTACTACCTCCGCACGCGCCCCGCTGCGCAGGCGATCAAGTTCACCGTCGACAGCTCGTTCCTCAAGAACGCCGCGAAGAAGCCGAAGGTCAACGGCGTCAACGGTGTCCTTCCTGCGACTGCTGCACTGGTCACTCCTTCGACACCCAAGCGCGCTGTCGACGACGTTCAGATCAAGGAGGAGCCAATCACGCCTTCGCTGAGCACTCCCATCACGAACGGCATCGCCGCCTCAGAGCCCCTCTCCCCTTCACCTGCCGCGACTGTCAACGGTGATGCTCTGGCGAATGCGACCGCCGCCCTCTCCCTGGACGAGCGCACGCAGAAGGCCGCTGAAGCCGACCCCGAGTTCGCTGCAGCCCTCCAGCGCCAGCGGGACCGCGAGCTTGAGCAGGCGAAGCTGATGTGTTCGATCGAGAACAAGGAGGCGTGCCTCATGTGCTCTGGCTGAGCGCTGTGCGCCGACTTGTCTGTGGGACGTTCGAGACGGACGTGTGTCGTGGTGTATCAGCTATGTATCGCTTTTTCATGTATCTCTCCGGCTCCGCACTATCACTGGCATCCATCTCCTTGTCTACGACTCTGTACTGTACTCTAGATCTCGCACTCTCTCCATATGCATGTGCCCCTCATAATGAAACATGTTAGATCCACCAAAGCCGAAGCCGTGTTCTTGCGAACGTGGATACAGACGCCGCAACATAATGATTCAGATAGACTTCTACGCAAGCTGCGTAGTCCTAGTAATCACATCCGTAGTCCCGCTGGGTCACGTACATATACAAAGTAAATTACACATAAAGGATACAGTAGGACACCAGTTATGGAGGAGAATCCGAGCACGAGATTTCAGAAGACTAGTATACAGAGCACAAATAAAAAGCCGAGCCCAAATGATCTACTCAACAGGAAACCTCAAACGGCTCGTAGCCGTTCGCCCAAAGTGCCCTCGAGCTGTTGTCCGTGCTGCTGGAGGAACTCGGAGCACCCTACAATAGCCACGCTCTCCATCGTCTCCCCGCGCCCCTCCTCCGCCGCCCAATCCGTTAATCTGACACGCTCCTGCAGCGCTTGCACAAGCGCATCCCCAGAGACCCGCTGGCAGTGCCAGATCGTGAGTTTCGTGAGGCTCGGCAGGCGCACCGCCCACGAGCCGCGCGGGTCGTCCGCCTCCTTGAGGTTCGCAAGCCCAAACGCGAGCCACCGGCGGCGGAAGGGCGCGAGCATGCCGACGACGCGGTCGGACATGTCCGAGCCGACGATGCGGAACTCGCGCAGGCGGTCGAGGCGGTCGAAGCACCAACGGAAGTCCTTCGTGCGCATGTCCGCGTAGTCCATGTGCAGCACCTGCAGCGGCGGGCGGCTCCGGCGGAGCAGCGCGCGCAGGCCCATGCCCGTCGCGTGGTCGCTGTAGGGCGACTGGGAGAAGTCGTGTGCCTCGTCGTCGCTCTCGCCCTCCTCGGGCGTCGCCTGCTGCGTGATGTACGGGTCCGTGCGGAGCTCGAAGTCGACGTTCGTGTGCTCGAGGTAGAGCTCCTCGAGCGCAGGCGCGTCGATGTGCGAGAGGAGGGCGCGGACGGAGCAGGTGCTCCGAAGCAGCAGGATCCGGAGGTTTGGGAGTCGCACAGCATGGAGGAGTCCCGGGAGTATCGGCTCTGCCTCCTGTGGCCACCCCGAGAAGTGAAGCGTCTCGAGAAGTGGCATGCACCGAAGGAAGTCGAGCATGCGTACGACGTCGGTGATGACCTCCAGCGAGATCTCGGTGATGCATAGCGAGGTGATAGGGATGGGCTTCATGAATCGCGCAAGCGGGATTGTGGGCACGGAGAGGTGCATAGAAAGCTCCGGTGGCTCATCGGGGGGGCCGTGCACGCGGAAGATGTTGGTAGGCCGGCCGTCGGTGGAATCGGAGTCTGCGTTCAGGCCGAGGGTATCCACGGCGGCGATACCCTTGACGTGGATAGTGAGCTCGTCGACGAGGCAGTCTCGGGAGCGGTCGAAGTCGTACTTCGAGAAGTCAAACTCTTCCTCGTGTGTTCCGGCGATGGCGCACCTCCGCAAGCGCTGCATCTGCGAGAGGACCGGGGACAACAATGGCAGGATCATGTCGATCGTCTGTGCCTCGACGCGGATGTCGAAGGGAAGCGGGTCCGACTTGTATATCCACCATCGTGCCTGGTCGTGCGAGAGCGCAATTGGGTGGTTCTCGTAGAGATATATGCGCTGCCAGATGCGGGGAGAGAGGTAAGTTACGTCCCTCCAGTAACGACATACTTGGCCGAGGACGACCGGTGCGAGGTCGTCAGAAGGGGCATCAGAACACGAGATGAAGATGTCTATGAGGAGTTCCGGCGGAATGCGATAGATGGGAGACATGCCGAGAGGGCGAAGGGGCGAGATGGAGGACATCGTGGTCGTTGTCGCCCACGACGAAGTCGGAAGTAGTGCGCGCTCATGCAGTTGGGGCGCGCTAATTTGGTAACTCACGACACCAGGCCCGTCCTCAGTCGCCGCTAAACAGCCGAGAGACCGTGCACCGTTCACCCTGCGCAGCCTCCGCGGGAGCACGCCGCAGAACATGGGGTATGTTCAAGACTCAGATCCAGGACGAAGGAGGGCGAAAACGGATGGCATTCGGGGCATCGCACATGGGGGGAGGAAGGAAAGAGCGCCGGGGCCCGTCCCGTTATGGCAGCTGACTAAGCGCAGAACTGCACAGAACTGGCAGCTGGCTCTGAACTCAATTTTGCCGTTCCTGCCTTCACATACCGCCGCCAACGACGCGCCCGCCCCACTCCCGCCCGCCCTCAAGGTAATCTCGCTCTCTCCCTCGACTCAAAATGCCGGGCGTACGTGACATCAGGTGCGTCGTCTCGAAATTATGGCCAAATTCTGCCTACTCACTATGGGCGGACACTCTAAACAGCGCGGAGGCCTTCATCTCTGCATACGCATCCCACCTTAAGCGTTCGGGCAAGCTCGAGGTTCCCACCTGGGTCGACATTGTCAAGACCGGCCCCTTCAAGGAGCTCGCCCCCTACGATGCCGATTGGTACTACGTCCGCGCAGGTCCGTGTATTTCCCCGGCGGTGTAATTCAGGACCATTTCTGACCGGCCCTTTCCCTTCACAGCGGCCATCGCAAGACACATTTACCTCCGGAAAGACGTTGGCATTGGCGCGCTCACGAAGCTCCACGGCGGCCGCAACAACCGCGGCAACCGCCCCTCGCACCACGCAGACTGCTCCGCATCCGTGCAGCGCAAGATCTGCCAGTCGCTCGAGAAGATCGGTGTGCTCGAGCAGACCGACAACGGAGGCCGCCGCATCAGCCAGGACGGCCAGCGTGATCTCGACCGTATCGCCACCGCGGTAGTCGAGGCGGCGCGCGAGGAGGAGGAGGACGAGGAGGAAGAAGAGGAGGAGGAGGAGGAAGAGGAGGAGTAGATGCTTGGCCGTCCACCCACTGGCTAGGTGATCGCGACGGTCTGCGGGCCCGGGCACGTCCTCCCCCCGTGTTGTACGAACTGTCTCTGCCCCCTCTACCCTTCGTCCGGACCCGCACGGCGACCGACACGAGCGACCACCCCGTATGCTACATGCCATCCAAAATCTTAGGCAGTACGCTGTATCTCATGCATGCAGATTTTTTCCTCGGTGATCTCGTGGACGTGGTTTGTGCTTTCTCCGGTATCATTTTACAAGGTACTGTGCTGGTCATGTTCTGAATATGCAGGTACGACGTCCTATGCTTACCCTAAGCGACTCAACATCGTCGGAAACGACCATCCCGCGTATTCCATATCCCTGTGTTCAGCGCTTCTCATACCTCCCCACAACATTTAGGATTGCTCATGATTTAAAATCTCGGACACAGCGCACACATCGGGGGGACTCGTTTGAGATCATTATATGGCCTTTCTCCAACCTAACCTAAGACCCGAGGATCATCTACATCCATCGTGAACGCGGTACAAGCACACAAGCCCCTAGCACTACGCGCCCCCACGCCCAACGCGACGGAGCTTCCTCTATGGAGTCGTTACCAGCGACGCCGCTGGAAAATACGACCGTCGACGTGGGGGTGGAGAGTCCCAGCCTAGACTGGATTTTGTCTATAGGTATGGAGCGGCCGCAGGGAAGGGGATGCTGGCGTAGGAATGTGTGGTGTATATGCGCAATAGACGGTCCTGACGGGCATACCAAACTGTACGGGGGTGTTGTGGGGGAATGACGTGCGGGAAAGCGCGACGACGCTAGACACTGATACATACAAGAGGTGTGCGATAAGGGACGTGGCAGGAGCCTGTGCGGGCCGCCTACGCGTCCTTGTCGACGATCTCGATACCAGAGTCGCTCGCGGTGTTGTCCACGAACGCGGGCTTCGTCGCCGCGAGCCCGTACGCGTTCTTGTAGAAGAGGATGTCGCCCTCGTCCTCGACGAACTTGCACGCCTTGAACACGCGGTAGACCTCCGCCCAGCCGCCGGGGCGGCCTTCGAGCTTGATCCCGTTGCGTGCGAGGAGGGCGCGGAGCGCGTCGGACGCCTCCCATGCGTTGTAGTGGGGGATCTTGCTTGAGACATGGTGGGCGACGTGCGTCTCCGAGATGCCGTGCGTCGCGAATGCACCGAGCCAGCCCATCACACTGCCGCAGTCACCGAGCAGGTTCCGGTCGAGCGTGGAGAGCGCGCCGCGGGGGAACGTGAACTCAGACGCGCGGTAGTGGGGCAGGATCGGGTCGGTATGCTGGAGGAACGTGATCAGGACAAGCCAGTGGTTGACCCTGGTGGCATATAAAACGTCAGGAGAGGCTACATGAGGTCGTACCCGCAACACATACCAGAGGTAGGGAATCAGATAGACGCGGAAAACCTCGAAGAATCCCCACTGAGAGATCGACCAACCGATAGCGGCCATCCAGAGCATGATTCCGACGTTGGAGATGAAAATCTGGCTGCGCTGATCAGGGCGGAACATGACAGACTCCGCGTTGAAGTCTGCAACGACTGGTGAGCATATACTACGAGCATTCATTGAGATGCACACGTACGGCTCGTGCCCTTGGGGTACCTCTGCTGTCCGGACGCGTTGAGAATGATATACGCAGGCCAGCCACCAATCTATGACGGTGCCGCAGTTAAATCACTAAACACTATCTCGATCGAACAGCATAGACTTACAAGGTAGCGAAGGGAGCCGTAGATCGCACCGATGGGGGAGTCTCCGAGGGCCTCGTAAAGCTCCTGCTTAACCTCCTCCGTGACGCTGGAACCAGCGAGATTCTCCTTGGTGGGATCGAAGGCAGGTAGGCCGAGCTGAGAGCGCGTCTTGGGTACAAAGACCTGGTCCTGCGTCATGTGGCCAGTAGAAGCATGGTGCTTCCCATGGGTGATGCGCCACGCGTGATAAGGTACTCCGAGTCTATGCGTTGTATAGGAGCGTGTCCGAAGAATCCATAAAGGAGAGACGCGAGCGAATATCACATGTCAGACACGGTCATGACCACAGAATGTCTGCGGAGACGCGAACTTACGCGGAGTGAAGGATCCATCCGACGGTGTTGTTGACGGCCTTGGACTCGGAGAATGCCTGGTGGCCGCACTCGTGCGCGATGACCCACAGACCAGTGGCAAAGAGGCCGACAAAGAACGTGTAGAACGCCCAGAGCACGAAGCGCGCGGCGGGATAGAGGGCCGCGTTCGGGAGGGCGATGTGCTCAGGGGTCAAAAGCGCGTCGAGGAAGTAGGTCCCCTTGTAGATGGCGCTGATGATCGCGACGTCCATGAAGCTAGCAAAATGACGGGATAAGAAACCGGGACATGACTGGTAACGCGTTGAGGACTTACACGTAGAGCGAGGACCGGAACGCAGAGCGCTTGTGGCAGTGAGCCCTGTTATCCGACATGGACATTCAGCTCTGCCGGCTGGTACACAGGGCTTGCATGTACTCACGGAATGGCCGAAAGAAGATCCTTGACGGTCAGGTCCGGGATCACGAACGGCTTCTGCTCGATAGTCGTCCTTGCGGACGGGGCCTTTGCCGACATTTTTGCGGGATGTGGCCTGAGGGGGACGGACAGAAAAGAGGACCAGACGTCTATGAGACCGGGGCCGTCTACGGGAGTCTATGGCGGGGGAGGAGGAAGGAGGGGCGGGGACAGCAAATGAACGGGCCCGGTTTTTATTGGGGTGTCCGCTTAGGTGCGGAGTTTTCCGGGGAAGGGCGAGTGCACTGTGCGTTGGGGATACGGAAGCGCAGGAAGACAGGCGCGCGCGTACGTGCCAATCAATTCCGCTGCCGCTTTGTCTTCCCCACTCTGCCCACGTTCCACCCCGCCTCCTCTGCGATCGCGACTCCCGTCTAGATGCCGCAAGGTATTGGACCCGCTGGGGCTGCGGCAGTCCGCCGGATTCCGGCAGCATCCCCGGACCACGTGAGGGGAGCAAACACTCCACGCATCATGCACGTCTAGACCTCGTCCCGTTTTGGGGGCCACGCTGTGGCGGTACTACGTCACTCTCGCGCTTGCGCCATCATATTCACGTTTGTACTTACTGAACGTCGCGCCTCGTCGCGCTCTACTCTGAGCCTCTCTCGGCCGCGCTACACTCTTAGTGTCGTCTTCTTCTACTATTCTGGATGTACTTAACTCATGGCTAATTCACATTCCTCCCTAAAATGTGTCCTACCTCCGGCTCAAGTCGTCGACTACCGTTCAGGGTCTCGGTTACAGTGCCCAAACAGTATCGGGAATTGTGGATGCGACGAGTAACACCATTACCAGCGATCTGGATAGTGGGAAACGCGGTGGAATTCTCTCGAAGGCCCCTCTGAGGCTGCTATAAAATCTGGGACGACGGCGGGCATCCCTCTCATCTCATTACATTACCTTTCGCTCGAGTCCGTCCATTCACTACCTCAAGCTAATCTACTAACCACTCGTTCCTCTCCCAGCCTGCCCTCCTTATACTATGGCGACAAACTCTTCAACACCATCCTTACAAGACCTGTTACCGCCGCTACAACCTCCCGTGCTGCTGACTGAATGCCCGCGCTGCGGCAGTGCCCTCGGAGCATTACAACTGTGCGGCGGATTAGGTTCTGATATACACAACTATAACCGCTGGTACCAGAAGGTATGTCTGCATGATAAATCTCGTTCACGCTCTGATTCACTGGGCATAGTGTTCTACCTGTCCGCATTTCGTGTTTCATGGACCTCGAACGCCTCTCGAGGACATCCCCGAAGACGTACAGGTCCGGTTCACGCTCAATCAGTCACTCCGCAGTGCCGCCTCTGCCCACCCTCAAGATCCTCAGATCTGCACGGGGACCGATTGCGTTGCACGGCGTACGAATCAGCGCCGCCGCGTGAACAGAGCCTGCGTGCGCAATCCTCCCCTTTGCGCGACGTGCTGTCGCACCACCAGTCCTCTGGTGAAGTGCAAGCCCCACAGATTGTCGGCTCTAGAGACTGCGGTACGTCCTGTGTCTCGTCGATGTTACAGCGATCTCATTCTGTATCAGTCTATGGAAGCACAGTCTAGCACTAGTACTGCTGGACCCTCGGGTTCGCAGGCTGCCGCTGCCGCTGGGCCCTCGCGCAATGGCGAAATTTCACCTGTTACGACAACACCATCACATCCTCCGCCCAACTTTGTTCTACAGCGCTCAGCTCAGACGTCCAGCCCATCCATAGTCCCAAGCAACGACCACCGCCCCCATGCTGCAAGCATCCCAGCATCATCGACGTCCTCGTCAGTCGCCGTCCCCTCATATGCCCGCCCACTCTCGGAAGACTATGCGAAGCCTTGGCTTGCCGTGCATCGGAAGAACGCTGAGCGTGCAGCACTTGTTGACGAGGGCCGCGCGTTACATACGAAGATGGCTAACATTGTGAAGATTACGATGTGGGTCACGGTGCGTTCCTGTTCGGTGTTATCCCCCTCATCCAGCTCCCGACACTAACACTGAACCCTCGATCAGCCGTCAACGACAAACACTGCACCCCTGCGTCCGCAAAGGCTACAAGTATCGACACCTCAGGCGGATATCTTGGTCATCGCAGACCACCCGTGCCTCAAGACGCTCTTGTCAGTAAATGTGCAGCATGTTGCGGTATATAGCGTGCTCGAACGCGAGTGGTTTATCCAACCCCTCGATCTTCCTATCGCTCTCCCGACAGGCTCTGCTAGCACCCGCCGTGTTCTTATCCGCCATACTACTCTCCACGACGACGACTGTGGTGAGCTCGCCGAAGAGCTCAATTCAGTGACCGGAGGTCCTCTCAAGCGACGCTCGGTCTCAGTTCCGGCGACCCCCACAAAGGTTCGCAAGTTTTCCTCTGCTGCGTCACCGCACACGCCGCGCGCCCAGGCTACGGCGGCTGAGTGTATCAATCAAACTCTTCCCTCTTTGATGGCAGAAGTGGAAAACGACCCCGCACGTAAGTACTTGTCGCTCGGTGCCCGGACATTCACTCATAATCTAGCACAGCAACAGCGGAGATCGTGTTCCCCGAGCAGACAGTACCTCCTTCGGTCACTCCTGTCGCCACTACCTCTACTCTCCCTGCCCCCGTCTCCGAGACTTCGAGTGCCGCCTCCAGTCTGCATCGTCCCATCAAAGCTATCCCTTTCCCCCCACGCTACGCTTGCGACATGCATGCAGGCATGTCCTTTCTGGTAGACGATGCATGCACACTTGCCGACCACAACAAGGACCCAGAGCCGTACTTCAAACTTGCCTTCCCAGGTTCCAAGTATGTGCGTGCTACGTTCTACGAGCATCGCAGGTTCTACTGTTTGGCTCGTGAGGATGGCACCCTCCCCCATGCGGTTTCGGCCGGTCGCACTCCCGACGGAATGTGGACTGTCCTGTCGAAGCGGTATAGGGCCAGCGGTGGCAAAGGTATGCATTCCGGGTGCTCGTGTAAAGCTTGCCGTATCTTTCTGTTGACTCCTGAATGATTGGTCGCCTTCATTTCAGGATCCACTGCGCCGCGGCGGTCAGTATCGGCGGGTGCCGCGTCCCCGGTTTCCATTAATGACGCTCAACTTGGAGCCATATCCCGTGGCATGTCCGGATCTGGTCGACCTTCAGAGCCAACCCAGACATCGCAGAATGCCCATCCTGAGGCGCCGCTGACGTACGTCTCTCACACCGTTCGACTGGAGTGGTTTGAGGGTGTCGGCACGATGTTTGGCTCACGCTGGGCTCCGAACACGGAGAGTATTGAGGCCCTGATTGCGGAGCAACCGTGGGCCCACGGACGCAGAAAGGACTGTCATCAAGTATGTCTGCTGTCTTCCGCTCTGTTTGCTAGCTGACCGCTGACTCTGGGCACTCTGTGGCGGCGATACTAGATGACGATCACGGAGCCCAGTCGTTTTGTGGGTGCCTACCTGGCAAAGACCGTGCGCCTGGATGTTCTCCCGGTTGATTGGGAAAAACATTACCACACTCTAGCCAGCGTTCAGATGCGAGAGGCCGCACGCCTCGCCCGTGCTGCTGATATCGTTGGCATGTTCATGTATGAGGCCAGCGAAAAATGTCTTGGGATCCGTTGTACGTCCTCCCTCCCTGCCCATCCCTGCCCGCTACTACCTTGTAGGTGTACTGACATCTAGTAACAGGGTTTACCTTTACACCCACTTATTCTGTTACGACGGTGCCGGATGGCAGTGTTTCTTGGATTGCCCAGAAACTGTTGATCGGCACTGGCAAGCCATATCCATCCGACAAGGACGCCCGCCCCGATAGCTCTCTATCACTGACGTTGTCCGCGTTTTCGCACTACACAATCGAGCGCTATGAGGTCTTACTCACGAATCTTGAGGGTACGTACTTCATGTGCTATATGGTGACCGAGGCTGTTACACCTCAGGCTGGCAGGGGGATACATCCACATCTCTGACTAGAGATGCACCTGTATCCATCCCCTTCTCTAATCAGAGACGTTCGCGATCCATCCCGTATCTCTACTAGAGATACAAGCGCCCCCCCGTATGTAGCGGGCGCTGGACAGGCGCTGCCCTTCCCCTTAGACACAACAGCCCGTTTAGGCCTGTTTTCCTGACATGCGCTGATACGTGTAATCGGCCGCTTTAGGCGGGTTGCATACATGATACCATACCCCCAATTGGGACATTAGAATATATACCTTTATTGGCTCCTCCTGGACCGATATTCACGCGCGTTGCCGGCGGTGGGCGGCGGGGCGCATTGATGGCTGGGTGGCGGGGCGCGTTGCCGCGTGCGGGTGCGGC